AATAATTATATTAATTGTTATTTATTTATATTTATAAAAATAATTTATTATAATAATAGTTGTAATAATAATAATTACAATAGTGGCAATAAAATAAAAATTAGTTTCTACAATTAATTAATTAAATAATTAATTAATTAATTAATTAATTAATAATTCTACAATAATGAATTTAAACAAATAAGTTGAAATTTTTTTTTTTTGCCAGCTTCTATAAATGAATATTAAAATTATAATTTATTAAAAATAAAATACGCGTGGGAGCTTTTTCTTTATTCCGCGAAAAATAATTTATAAAACATATTCAAAGGGGAACGACTATATTATTGTATATATATATATATATATTTGATTGATAATTTCGATCACGTTTCTCGTAAACAGTACAAAAGTATTTTTAGAACTTTGCTATCTTTTTTTTTTTTTTACCAAAGAAGCAAAAATTATTTAAGAATTTTTTATAAATAACACCAAAATATATAAGTAAACAATTATTATAAGAAAGGAAAAATTTATAAAAAAATTTTTTTTTTTTTGTTTGTGTAAAAATATTTATCATTTTTGTCCCAGAGAGAATATATCACAAAATATGTAATATTGTCAATGCAAAATGACACGCTGTTATAAAATATATATATATATATAAACGCATAATCAATTACGAAATAAAACTTGCGGCTTTTGATATTAAAATTATTATTATCGACTTTGAACATTTGACACTAAAATTGACAACGATTTCTTATTCTTGATTATTGCAAAATATTCACGATATTTCTGTGCTCTAGGTTAAATAAATTTTACATTCAATGGAAAAAAAAAAAAAAAAATTACGCTGAGAAATGATTTTATTGATTCAATAAACACACGCTTAGATTTTTATTATTTTTGCTTTTGTCAAGGACAATTTCTTGATTATTAAATAATTGACAGAGATATATTTAGATAAGACGATTTTTTTTTTTTTTAGAAATATTATACGTTTTACTTTGTTAGTGTTATTATAAATGAAAAAGAAATGGATTTTTTTTTCGTAAAAAAAAATATTGTTACTTAAACAATATTTAAAAAATTAGAATTTTTTCATTCGAAAAAAATTAGAATTCAGCCTGTAATTAATTTCTTTTTATTAATTAATAGGGGGAAAAAAACAATAGTTTTTGTTACAAAATAATTTTTCAATTAAAAATTGTCGTGGGCAAAAAAAATTCAGTTTTGATTTTTTTTTTATTAATTAATAGGAAATAAAATAATTTTTAAATTAAAAATTATCATTGGCCAAAAAAATTCGGATATTAATTTTTTTTTATTAATAGGGAATAAAAAAATGTTTTCTTTTAATTTTCTGCCAACTATTATTATTGAAGCTAAAAAAAAACTATTTTTTTTTTTTTTACCAAAAAATTCGGATGGGAAAGAATTTTAATGTCTTTATTTCCTTTCGTTTTTTCTGTTGAATGATTGGAAATTATTTTCATTTCCTTGTTGACAAATCAGGACATATAGTGTGTTGGTTTTTGAAAGCACGTAAACTGCAGCTGTCCGTGGGTGTCAATGCTTTCGCCGCATGTGCACCACGTTGAAACGCATGATTACACGTGTCTACAAGTTTCTGTCTACGTGCTGTCTACTTTTTCTTTCATTTCAAATGAAAATGCTCTTCATTTTTTTTTTTACTCCATTTTTTTCTCTGACATACTTTTTAACATTTCCATTAAAAAAAAAAAAAAAACCACTTGTACTTTTCTAAAAATTCTTTTTCTTATTCATTCAATCTTCTCTTACATTTTTACTTTCTATGTGTCACATGTGGAATTTCTCAAAACCCTTTGAAAAAGATATCGTTATTTTATCATACAAAAACGATTTTTTTTCATAATTAGCTATATTATTAGTAATAAAAAAAAAATTGTTCCACTTTTATTATTCTAATTAACTAATTAGTAAAAAAAAATTTTCCAATTAATTATTTTAATAATTAACTACATTATTACTAAAAACAAATTGTTGCAATTTTAATTATTTTTAATAATTAGCTATATTATTATTACAAAAAAAATAGTTTCAATTTTATTATTTACATTATCAGTAAAAATAAAATTGTTACAGTTTTACTATTTTTAATAATTATCTACATTATTAGTGAATAAAAATTGTTTCAATTTTATTATTAACATTATCAGTAAAAAATAAAATTTGTTCCAATTTTATTATTTTTAATAATTAGCTATATTATTACCACAAAAAAAAATGTGTTACAATTTTATTTTTCATTAAATTAGCAAAATTATTAATAAAAATAAGTGGTTTAAAAAAAAAATTTTTTTTTAATACAATTATGATTGCATTGTTTTTTTTTATGATTTGAAAAAAATTTTGTTATTAATGTCGTTTGCTCCAAATATCAGGTAAAATGTTTGAGATGCTATTTCGCGAATTATCTACCTACAGTCTCTCTAACCGCACAGTTCCGTTTTAGCTTGCGTCATCCGGTCGAGGACGCGCTTAAAATTACGGCACATTATATGCAGTTACCGAAGAGCAAAAGGCTAACCGCTTCACCCCTTCCTCATATAAGAATTATTTCATTCAACGAAAGCATTGATCATTTTCATTTCGCTTATTCATAACAAGAAAAAAAAAAAAAATTATAAGATTATTTTTTTTTTTCTTATTTCACTAACGGTAAAAATTTTGCTTCATTATTCTCTACCTCTTGATAATTTTTACTCATATTTAAACATTATTGAAGGAAGATAATAATTCAATTAATTTTTTTTTTTAGTAAATTTTTTCTTATTATTAATATTTATTGATAAATAATTTATTGCCAATGGAAAAATATAAGAGTGTAACAAAATTTATTTGAATTAAATAATTACTTTTATTAAATAAATATTTATTTAAATTAAATAATTACTATTATTAAATAAATATTTATTTGAATTAAATAATTACTATTATTAAATAAATATTTATTTAAATTAAATAATTACTATTATTAAATAAATATTTATTTAAATTAAATAATTACTACTATTAAATAAATATTTATTTGTATTAACCATTATGTGTTTCAAATAGAAATTTCGGTTTTTTTTTTACAGAAATTACAATCAGTTTATTTAATTGAAAAATTATTTGCTTCAAGTAAATATTTATTTTATAAAAAATTATTTGAATCAAATACACTTTTTTTTGGAAATTTTTATTTCTCAATAAAATAAAATTAGAAATATATATTTTTGGAGATTAGTATAATAATGAAATTTGGGAATAAATTTTTTTTTTTTTATTAGATTAAATAAGATTTTATTTTTTATCAGAATAAAATAAGTGTTCTTTGATTTTTTTTTTTTTATTTTTTTTTTTTCTTTGAAACAAACGCACTCTTTCCTCGTGTGTATAACCCTTTGAGAACAACTGGCATTCACCCAGGTCGACCTCCTCACAATGCTCGCAAGCGATAAGAATAATATGGCGCCTTTTCAAGTGGTCATATACGTAAAAACCTGCTTTAATACAATAACTCAATTCCGCATTGCTGGTCACGGTTATACTGTTTCTTCGATAAAAGAGTAAAAGCCTTTTTATTTTTTCTTCTCTTGCATTATTTTTGAAAATTAATTTCTTTTTTCCCCTATACTTGGCTAAAAAAATAATTTTCACGATTTATTCGTAAATTGTTATAAATTAATTGAAAAAAAAAATCTTTTTTAATTAAAAATTTAATTTTTTATTATTTAGGAATTAATAATTATATAGATAATTAATAATTATATAATAATTAACAAATGAGAAATTAGGGCAATTTTTAAAATAGATGTAAAATTAAAAAAAATGAGAATTAATTGACGCGCGACTGTCCAGACAATAATTCTAATTATAGAGACGCGTAAGTCAATGGAATTCAAAGCTTTTCAATGCGTACAGAAAATATAACCGTGGAATTATGTCACTTATCAACAACCAGATGAGCAAAAAAAAAAAAAATCTATTTGTCTCAAAGCTAAATAAATTATTATTATTTCAAAATAATAATTTACTGTATCAAATCAAAATTTTATTTTATTTAATATTTTATTCTGATTCGAAAGATTTTATATTGATTTTACTATTTTTTTTAATTCTAATAACATTTTATTTATAACTTTATTTTATTTAAAAAAAATTTTTTTTTTTTTATTTATTAAATTTATTTCGTAAATTTATTTTTAATTTGTTTTAGAAAATTTTATTTCAATTTACCAAATATAGAATTATTTTTTTCTAAATAAAATTAAAAAAAAAAATTAACACAAATATAGTATATGAAAAAAAAATGTAATTATTTTACAAACTAAAAAAAGAAATAACATTTGAAAGAAGCGGTATTAAAAAAAAGACAATTTAGACTATTTTAGAAGAAGTGTATAATAAATAAAACGTCAATTAGATTGATAAATTGTAAATAAATGATGCAAAAGAAATGTCTATGAATCTGATGTTCCTGGAAGAGTTGGAAGCAAAGTGCCGACTCCTCGAGTTTATATAGTATAATACCATAGAAATTTCTGCGTCGACAGCAAATGGTTGGCTCAGAATATTTTTTTTTTTTTTTTTTTCTTCTTTTTTTTCTTACTTTATCTAAACAAAGCCCCCGTCCATCGAAACATCTTTGCATCCCACGCTCTCGCGAGGGTACTGTCGATTATCTGTTTAAAAAAAAAAAAAAAAAAAAAAAAAAAAAAAAAAAAAACACCACAATTTAAATAAAACTTACTAAGCTTTTTCGTATAAACTTAATTTTTATAATTTTCAACAATAATTTAATAAAGTAAATTTATAAAATAAATTAAAATAATTATACAAAATTTGTTGAATATTATTATTTTTATTGTTATTATTTTTTGTTTATTTTTTTATTTTTATTATTATTTATTGTTATAATTTGTATTATTTGGAAAATATTAAAATATTTACTATTTAGAATTATTATTAATAAATTTATTATTTCGCAGATATGCAGAGACGGTGAAAAATGTAATTGTACGGGAATAAAAGGTGAGCCTGGACATTTTGGAATTCCAGGAGGAATTGGACCTCAAGGATTGCCGGGAGAAGTTGGTCCAGATGGGCCAGCGGGACCAAAAGGCGAAAAAGGAGCTGCCGGAGAACATGGAAGCACAGGAGAAAAAGGTTACCGAGTAAGTTTATTTTATTTTAACTACACAGGTTTTTTTTTTCTTCTTTTTTTTTATCTTCTTTTTTCTTTTTCTCAACCTCGAACCATATGACCCTTTAAAAAAGAATCACGTTATTCCCCTACTGACCTTTTTCAGTATATATTTTTACAGATGACCTTCAATTCAAATGCTCTAATTCAGAAGCTTTATCTTTCACATTTTTTTTTTGTTTTTCTCCAATTTAATAGAAATTTTGTTATCTACACTTAGCATATACAAATAAATCATTCATTTCCTGGTTTGATTACAAAAGAGCTATTTGTCTATATAAACGAGATGACAAAACATATGATCTTCAAATTCTATTTTAATTTTATATAAATTAAGAAAAAAATTTTTTTGTTAATTTTATTGGAAAAAAAAAATTATTATTAACTTTGAAAACATAATCATAATAAGGGATAAATAATAGAAAAAAAACAAATATGACAAAGTAAGGTCACTTAATTGATTGTTTCATAAGTAAAACTTGACAAGTTACCTAATAGAAAATAAATTCATGCACTATTGTAAATTTGTAAATTATCGAATTATCGAATGCTAATTTTGAGAATATATAAAAAGCTGAAGGATAAATAAAACAATAGTTAAAAAATTAATAATTATTCTTGAAAATAAGTGGAAAAAAATTTATTTAATTCAAATAATTGATTATTTAAGAGATCTCTTATTTAACTATTATAAAAATAAATATTTATTTATATCAAATTATTTGAAAGATTATTTTAAATACAAAAAATTAGTACACTTTTTAAATAAAAATTAGTTGATTCAAATATTTATTTATTTACCAATTAACCGATATTTGAACTAAATAATTTTTTTTCCATATTGAAAATAAAAATTTTGAATAATAAATAATTTATTATAAAAAAATAATTTTTCCAAATTGAGACAATAATTGTTATCAATGTATATTAAATTGAAATCAAATATCAAGAGAAAATTGAAACTGATACACAATATATGAAACATATTTGTAAAGTTTAAAATCAATTTAAATACAGTCGAGTAGTGGCCTGCATACATCTTCTTTTTAAGTGACACTGATGCCTCAATAAAATGAGACCGAGATGGTTAAATGTCATTAAGAATATTTGTCATTGGTGACTTCCAGGAATATTGTAAAAAAAAAAAAAAAAAATGCATGCATTCCAAATGAGTTATGGAAGTCGTGAGATTCAATGAAAAACTACCCACGATATCGTATAGACTAGATTTTTTTTTTTTTTTTTTTTTTGCAACAACCATTTTCCATGCAATATAAATATGATTATATCATCATCATCAATGTGTCAGTTTTATGATGATATCGGAACGTAAAATTATTTTTATCTTTTTTTTTTTAATGATAATGATGATGAAGATTGTTAATGAAGAAGCGTCGGGACTAAAAAAGAATTGGTAGACATTGCAATTGCGTCACCGCAAGAAAGTGCATGAGGATGACCCATCTGTTATAATAAAATTGAATCACTATTATTGCATTCACGATAAAGAGAGAAAAAGAGAAAGAGAGAAATTGCTTTTTACTCTTGTCAATTTAATATAATTTTTAAAACTCGTCAACTTCCTTTTTTATTACTTCAAAAATTCTGGTCTCTTAAATTGCTTTCTAAAGATAATTATTTTTCTTAAAAAAAAGAAAGGTTTTAATTTCTTTTATTCCAAACGATTTTAATTTTTTTTTTTTTTACATTTTTTGGATGATTTTAATTTTTTTCGTTTTTCATTTTTTTCTAAATTGTTTTTGATTTTTTCTCTTGGATGACAATTTCTTTTTTTCCTTTACAAAGGATTTTTATTTTTACTCCAAATAGTTTTGTTTATAATTGTAATTTGATAAATGTTCCCTTCTTTTTATTATTTATTATTTTATTATTTAAAATAATTGTAATTTTTCCATTTAGAAATAATAATTGTAAAATAATTTTTTTCAGGATATTCTGGATAAATAATTTAATTATATTACGTCAGACAACGACGTTTCGATACCAACGTTGACATTCGTAATATAATAAAATTATTTATCAAGAATATTTTGAAAAAATTATTTGACAAATATTTTATTATTTATTTTACTATTTATATTTTATTTATTTATTTTTTATTATTTATATTTTATTTTTTTTTTATATAATTTTTTTTATTATTTATATTTCATTATTTTTTTTATAATTTTTTTTTTATTCTTTTTATAATTTTGTTTATTATTTATATTTTATTATCTAATTATTTTACTATATTATTATTAATTATTTTAAATAAGAACATTTATTAAAACTAGGAAGACGAAAAAAAATATTTTTATTCTAAATAATTTTTTTTTTTGTTTTGTTTTAGAAAAGGTAAAAAAAAATATCCAAGATGAAAATAATCGAAGAGAAATAGAGACTAGGAAATAAAATACTGGCAATAAAAAAAAAAAATGCATGTCGCGGCTATATCAAATTGATGCAAATCGCGTCGTTCACATATTATGCGACGAATCATGCGCGAAGTCCCTTAATTAATGTTCATCAGTTCGCGAGGGAGGCAAACAAGTTTACGACTACCGTTTCTCTCTCAAGTTAATATTGAGATGACGTCATGATCCTTTCTGAATGATGCTGGAAAGAATATTATGTATACAAACGGATAAGCTTTGAAGAGTAAAAGGGCAAACGTTGCACTAAATATATATATATTTTCACACACACATATATGTTGCCTTCGGGACATTGTGTGGCAAAGTATTATGCGCCTCACAAATTGCCGTAGGAGGGCTATGAGAATGGCACAATTTCCAGCTCTTTGGGTTAACAATTTATTGTGGGCGGTGATGATAAATTGCACTATCTTGCATTTGGCATTGATCTCTATCTGAGAGACGATTTTCCGAGCTAAAACACGACCTAAGTATCTGACCGGAAGGTTGATGAGGGTTAGATGACGCGTCTTTTATAAACTGGGTCGATTCTAATCTTATTTTCAGAGGAACTTGCAATTTTTTCTTTGTTTTTTTTTTGTAGAAAAATGGAATTGATAATTCACTGCTTTTTATGGGAAAATTAAAAAAAAAAATAATTATTTTGATATGGAAATTTATATTCTGTTGAAAAAAAAAAAAGAAATTATTTTTTATTTATATAATTCGAAAAAAGGAAATTAAAATATTTTTGCTATTTAATTAATCCGAATGAAGGAAAATAATTAAAATTCTAACTAAATATTAAAATAAAGGAGAACTATTCTAAAAATAAATCGAGATAATTTTTCCGATATTTGAAGCAATAAAGAGGATATCCTGTAAAATGGAAAATAACTCTCTTATTTTTTGTTTTTGAAGATTTGATCGAAATTGGAAAAAAAATTCATTTTTATCTCCTAAGCTGATACTTGTCATCTCGTTGACAGTCTTAAATTATACATTTTGTTTCCGTTTCTCCTACGCGTTTTTTTTTTTCTATAAAGTAGGGTATCGAAGCACAAATTTGATAAATAAATTTCTAGGGTAAAGAACAAAGCATAAGTCATTTTATATGATTAAAGGCGAGGGAATCTCAATGCCAATGACCTGTTTTTTGAATTTACAATTACACATTCTATAATTAAACGATAATTTCCATTGATTTATAACTTTCTATCGAGGAAAGAGAAATTAAATAAATCAGGAAATATTCTATAAATTTCAAGATTTGAAAAACAAAATTTTATTTTTCAAAATATCTTCAAATTAAAAAAAAAAATTGGATGATTTTTTTTTTTTTTAATAGAATTTGAAATAGAAATATATTAATATTTATCTATAACAAATTCTTTAATGTAAATTATAATTTAAAAAGAAAAAAAAGAATTTTTTTTTTATGATAAGAAGTAAATGACACAGATTTTTTACACGAAACTTTCTCTTTTGATCTTGTGAAATTTCGTTGCTAAATTTATATATACATATATATTGATTTTCGACATCTGTTTTATTCGCGTTTTAACACAAACAAAATCTCTGATCCTGAATCAACGAAAATTCATGTATTCACCACTTTATAGCTGATAAGGGGTGAAACTAAACGGATACGAGTGAACATCGAGCTCTCTCATTCTCTATATCTCATTCTCCGGAAGTTATAACTGCATTTCCGGTCAAGAGTCACCAAACTTTTAAGCCATTTATTATCTATCGGAATGAATATTTTCGATTTTTCTCATAGCAGAATAAATATTGTAGTTGAAAACATTTTTTATAGAAAAAAAAAGAATTGCTTTTGTAATAAATTAAAAAAAAAAATAGAAAAAATTAAAAAAAAATAATTTCTATACAAAAAAAAAGAAGTACAAAAGTTCGTAAAATATTTATATAGGCAAAAATTATAATATAAATAATAAGGCAAATTTTTGATACAACTATAAATATAAGCAATGAAAAAAATCGAAACCAAAAACTTGTTAACATCTGAACTTTGATCTAAATTCCAGAATTTTGTTATCATTGTGCGGAAGAGTAGGCGATTCACGAGACGCATTTCCTGCCTTTGGCTGGTGCCTGGCAACCTACCAAAACTTTTCTTTTTTTTTTTGCCTCTCACAAAATACTACGAAAAAAAGGGTTTTTCTATTGAGAAAAAAATAAAAAAAAATAAAAATTCAAGATAAAAAGAGTCCACGAGAAGTTTGAGATAAAAGTTCATTCACTCTTCTATTCAATCTTTTATAAAAAATTTTTTTAAAAATTGAATGAAGCAAAAAAACAATTTGCACTTTAAAAATTTTAATTTAAAAAAAATATTCCTCGATTAATTTTCCATTAATTTTAATTTTCAATTTAATTACTAATTAATGACACAATTTTTTCTGATAAAGAATCAATGTTAATTTTATCAAAGGAAGAAAAATTTTTTGCCGTTACCAAATAAAAAAAAATATTTTTTTTTTTTTTTACGAATTACGAGGCTATTAAATCTAAGTTAAAATTAGGTCGTTTACATCATATTGATGCGGGGTTTGAAACGAGACCAAGAGTTGTAATCCTCACTGATTCGCTTCATATTTTTTTAAGGCTTCTATCGCCTCTGACTGTTTATAAATGTTCGTTTACTTGGAAAATATCTTTGTAAGCCGATCTTGAAATTCTATTTCCGCGGGGAGTTAGAATTTTTTTTTTTTCTCATTTTTTGTTGAGCAAAAGAGAAAGAGAGAGAGAGAGATGGGGGTAGAAAAATAAATAAATGGGAAAAATTTCGACCGTAAATGTAAGAATTTTCTTAATTTATTTGTTTATTCTAAACGATCCCTCTGTATTGAGAGAACATGAGGAAACAGTTTTAGTATAAACTAGTTTTGTATAAAATTTTCACTCAACATTTGGTCATTTATTTTGATTTCAAAATTCCGTTTTATTTTATTTTCTAGCTTTTAATATTTTTTTAATTAATTTAAAAAAAAATTTTTTTTAATTTTTTAATAAAAAGAGTTCAATATAAATTTTAGAGTTGTTGAAAAAAAGGTGGAATTATTTTTAATTTCTAATTAAAATGCAAATAATTCAAAAATAATAATTTTTATAAAAAGAAATGATTATATTTTTTGTTAATTAATTTGAAATTTAATTAAATATTTTATTCAAATTATTAAAACAAATGATACTGGTATACTTTTTTTTTTAAAAAAAAGGAATAAAGGATTGAAGGAAAAAAGGAAAAAAGGAAAATAAAAATGGAAAATGGAAAAGAGGAGATGCAACGATAATGTAGTCAGTCTATGAATCCAATTCAACCGGAAGTTGTAAGAATCATATTCAGAAAATAAGTATTTTTTTATGAACACCGAAAGATATTTGTATTTTAAATTATAATTTCAATAAGTAAAAATTTTCCCAATTTAAAATTTTTTCATTTTATTTATTTTTTTATTTTTTGCTTTTTAATATTTTTTACTTTTATATATTTTCTTTAACTTTATATATATATATTTTTTTTTAATTTACTTTGTATCTTAATTTTTTTTTCTATTTTCGAATAATTTCATGGATCATAACTTTATATATAACAGATGTGAAAAATACCAATCTTAAATATACAAATCTATTTTCGTCTAATTTTAAATTTCACAAAAAATAGAGAAAAAAAAAAAGATTTCTTATTCGAAATCCATTTTCATTGATTTATTTTTCGTATATCGTCAAATATTTTTTTCCAGTATAAAAAGAATTGTTATTAAATTATTTGAAAAAAAGCAGCAAAATAATTATATATTATTAGCAATTGAGTAGGAAGATAAAAATGATGATATATCAATAAAGTAAATGATATAAAAAGAGAAATGAATGTAAAAAAAAAAAAATTTTTTTTTAGTTCAAACATTGGATTTAATTAAGATATTTGATTAATTAACGATAACTTTCTTGAAATACACGTTATCATTTTTTTTTAATCAATTTTTAATCGAGATAATTTATTTTTTTAAATTAATTTCACCGAAGGTAGAAATTCATTGGCAATTTTTTTCTTTTTTTTTCATGCTTCGTTTGCAAACCGTGAACACATTTAATTACGCATGTAAAGGTAGAAGGAGAGAGAGAGAGATGATGATTCACGAGTGAAAAAAAAAAAAGAAAAGTAAAGAAAAAGAAAAAAAAAATCATTGGAACCGGACTATCAGGTGAACCCGAAAAAATGGCCCTGACACGTTCAGGAGAGAACTCTCTCTCCGTAAATGGTCCTGTTAATAATTTCTCGTCATTTTATTTTTTAAGTGTATAATTTCTCACCATTTGAAGTCACAAAAATTATTATTTTTTTTTCCCCAGACTTAAAAATGAATTTACATGTTTGAAAAATTATAAGTAAGGGAAATATGTATACAGGCCACTTGATAAAATTCGGAATGTATATATATATATATACTCGAAACTAACTGAAGGGAAAATAAATAGGCGGACGTTGAACCTTCGACACAGAAACTCTAAACTCGCCAAGATATATAAACCTAATATTTATTAAAAAAAAAAGAAGAGAAAAAAAGAATTTATAGTCTAGAAATAAACCACAAATTTATGCCGAAGATACATGACGATGTTTATAAACTTTTAACAAATTTATAAATTCTGGAAATGATTAGCAATTCTATGCGTGTATTCCCTTGTATATCAAATGTGGAGAAAAAATCGATTTGTTTCAATGGAAAACGATTTTAATTTGGATTGCAGATTTTTTTCATTTTCTTTTATTCAATTCATTTATTTATAAAATAAAATTTAATATTAACTGAAACTATTTTCGTTTTGAAAAATTTACCTGTTGCAATTTATTTTAATTTTTTTCAAAAATAATTTATTACTATAAAATTTTTCTAAAATGAATTTTTCTATTTTCAGGGAGACACTGGAGCGAGAGGATTTGTCGGAGACGCTGGAAGACCTGTAAGCAAAAAAATTGTCTACTAAATTTTTTATTTATTATGAAATTTTGAAATTCAAAAAAATTCCGATATTTTCAATTTTGAATTATTATTTTCCAAAGGGAATGATTGGAAACGCTGGATTAAGTGGTCCAGATGGTTTAGAAGGTTGTAATGGAACTGATGGAACAATGGGAGGACCCGGAAGATCAGGACATTATGGAGAACGAGGTCTTCCTGGTGCTCCAGGAAGTTATGGACCACGTGGTGAACCCGGTGAAGGTGGTGTCAATTCAAAGGGAAGCAAAGGAATAAGAGGCGAATTTGGAACCGATGGTCTAAAAGTAAATTGAAATTAATTTACAATTAAAATAATAATTTTAAATAATTTTCCTTTCCTTTTTTGTTGTTTAATAAAATTCAAATTTTTAAGAAATGAAAATTTTCATATTAATATCTAATAAAGAAAATTATTTTTATATTGTGAAATTTTTTAGGGTTTTCCAGGACAGATTGGCTATACGGGCGATATTGGACTTCCAGGAGAGAGAGGTGATCCGGTAAGTGTATATTCGAAGGAAGTAAATGTTTACAATAATGTAAATATTATGTCTGGGCAAAGAGAGTTGGAATTTTTTGTTTTGCAATCACTTGTACCTAGCTGCATTTAATATTTCAATTATAATGATAGTTTAAAACCACTTTTTCAATTTAAAGAAACAGATTCAAAAATTCCAGTCTAATTGCAAAAGTGACCTATAATAAATTAAAATAGTCGTGGACTACTTTGTAAAGCAATTTCTTTAACGGAATTTGAAATGATCAATCTGATACTGCGACAATTGCAAATAATTTTTGTCTTATTTCTAAAAGCAAATTTTATTCTCATTAAATTCAATTGTTACCGTTTTTCCTACTTTGATATTTTTTTTTTTTTGCAATTTTCTTTTGAAGTAATAAAATTTAAAAATTGGTGAATCGTTTTTTTTGTATTTAATTATGTTGTATGATTTTTTAGTAGAATTTTCGTCAATGTTATTTCATTTTAATGCGATTACACGCGTCTTGTGGTATAAAAGATTAGCAACGTCAGATCCTTGATGGTCACTTGATCATTTCTTATATAGTGTGGTGAGGAAAAAAAAAAAAAAAAGCCTTGCTGAAATCTGAGCCCCAAAGTCTCTTCTAAACTGACTGCGCTATTCGCTGACACACAGTCACTTTTGATAAGAAGACAGAAAACTGTCTCAAATGAATTTTTTTAGAAAATTCGTTCTCTCTAAATTATTCCACATGTGTTCCTCTGAAATTTGCAAATACAATTCTTGGAAATTAAATGATGTCACGATAATTTCATAACAAGAATAAATTTTCCTTTTCTTCAAGAGTAAATTGTTACATATTTTTGAAAGCTATTTTAAATATTTTTATTATTCAGACAATATTTATAATTTAATTATTAAATAATTATTTTCTTTTGTATTTACATGTAAATAAGTAAATATTTTATTTTTAAAAATTTTAATTTTAGTTTTTTATTTTAGAAGAAAAATTGATATTTTGAATAATTTTTTTAGGGTTATGATGGATTTCCTGGAGAACAGGGACCAATTGGAGAACCAGGTGAACCGGGTATTGGAATACAGGGATTTCAAGGTGACATGGGAGACACCGGAGAGCCTGGACAAGATTTTTTACCATGGACAATAATAAATCAGACAGTATTGCAAGGAAAACGAGGACCTCCAGGACCAAAAGGTGATAGTGGCAGTTACGGTCGTCCTGGTTTACCAGGTGTTAAAGGACCGCAGGTAAATATATTTATTTTTTTAATATAAATAAAAATTTAATAATTCTAAGTTATTTAAAAATTTTTTTTTCTATTATCAAAAATTTTTCAATTTTCTTTTCAACAATTTCTTTGATTTTTAATTATTGAAATTTTAATCTTTAGGGTCGTTCGGGTCTACATGGTTTTAAAGGAGTAAAGGGAGAACAAGGAGACGATGGACCAAGAGGCAAGCAAGGTGTTACCGGTCCAGAAGGTCCTGCCGGTGAAAAAGGAGAAAAAGGAGCTCCAGGTTTTGAAGGACGACCGGGATCCGATGGTTTTGATGTACGATGTTCTTTTCATAAGAAAAAATAAAAGAAAAAGTTAGTTAAAAGTAATTTGTAATAAAAAATTGATTTTTTTTTCATCGCAGGGAGAAGCGGGAGAAGATGGTAATGCTGGACCACCTGGAAAACAAGGAGCAGAAGGTGAAAAAGGCGCGTACATTCCAGAACTCGATGAAATGGTTCCCGGAAGTATTGGACCTCAAGGAGATTTAGGTAAATAATAAAAATTAAAACTTTAATTTCTTTCTCAAAATTAATTTTAATATTGTTTTTAAAGTAATTGAAATTAGACAAAAAAAGTATTCAAATAATTATTATTTTTATTTGTAATTTTAAAGTAATTGAAATTAGACAAAAAGAATGTATTCAAATAATTGTATTCTCAATAGGACCGCACGGTGAACAAGGAGAATCAGGAACTCCAGGATTAGCGGGAAATGTGGGATATATTGGACCAGCAGGACCTCCGGGACCTCCAGGTATGCCTGGAATTCCGGGAAAAAAGGGAACATCTGAGAAAGGAGAACGAGGCGACGATGGTATAAATAATTTTTAAAATTGATAAAAATTTCAAAAAAAATTTCAAATTTCAATAAAACAAATTAATTAATGAATTTTTTTTTTAATTTAGCTCCATCTGGACCAAGGGGACCAATAGGTCCTCCAGGTTATCAAGGACTACCCGGAATTGTTGGAGATAAAGGATTTCCTGGTTTAGCAATTGTTGGACCACCTGGACAAGAGGGAAAACGAGGTTTTGATGGTTATCATGGACTTCCTGGAGATCGTGGCGATCCTGGTCCACCGGGTACGTTTATAAAATTAATTTGTTAAAATTATTTAAACGATTTCTTGTATTTTTATCATTTTAATTTTACAAAAAATCGAAATTTTTAATTTATCAAAGAGATTATAAATCAAAAATTGTAATTTTTTACCCTTGAACCAAAAAAAAAAATAGGCGAGAAAGGTTTTCCGGGTAAAGGTGTTAGAATTCGAGGACCGCCTGGCGAAAGTGGTCTTCCAGGAATTCCAGGTTCTGCAGGAAAACCAGGTATTCCAGGACTTCCGGGATTTAAAGGCGGAAGAGGTTTTCGAGGAGACGACTGTGGCGTTTGTACACCAGGTATTAAGAAAATTAATCTCTATTCTATATTAAATAGAATTAAATTAATTATTTTATGTTTAATTACATTTAATTAAAAATAATATATTTTTTTTTCAATATAGTAATGATTAATTGTAATAATTAACTATTGAAATTAAATCTCAAATTTCTTTTTTAAATTACTTAAAAAATTTAACTGGAAATAAATTGGAAAATTAAATTAATAAGAATTAATTGTATAATTTGAATAATTTTATCTAGTGAAAAAAAAATGAAATATAAATTCTAGGATTACCTGGACTAAAAGGTGAGCAGGGTGAAAGTGGAAGGCAAGGATTTGCTGGAACTCCGGGCTATCCAGGATTTCCAGGACCAAGAGGACAAAAAGGTGTTCATGGAAATTCTGGCGTTGTGGGTCCACCAGGTTTGGAAGGTACCAGCGGAAGAACTGGAATCGCTGGTGTTACTGGTCCCAAAGGTGAACCGGGAAGAATTATTTGGCCACCGCAAAATAAAACTGAAATTTTATACGCAATGGGCGACAAAGGTGATAAGGGTCTTCCTGGACCTGAAGGTCTCATGGGTCCTGTTGGTCGTCCTGGTTTACCTGGTGACGAGGGTATGCAAGGACCCAACGGCGCCAAGGTACTCTTTTATTATTTTTTTATAATCCACTTTAATATTTAAAAAAAATTGTATTTAAATTAATAATATTTATAATATTGATTATAATTTATTTTTAGGGTGAACATGGAATGCCTGGATTACCGGGTAGAGATGGAGTACCAGGAAAATTTGGCCGTGACGGTGAAAAGGGAGATTCTGCTTCTGTTGAAATTTATCTATTGCGAGGTGATGCAGGTTTACCTGGTTTACCAGGTCGCAAAGGTGAACGTGGTATCGTTGGCGTTAAAGGTGAACGGGGAATTTCAGCATCGGCAATTTTCGAAAATATCAAAGGGCTTAGAGGCTATAAGGGAGAAAATGGAGAAGCAGGTACGTAAAAAAATTCAAATTACTTTTTATCTACAGAGAAACCCACGTATATCGGATTTCAAGGGAGCGGAAAAAAATAATATCGACACAGAACTCTACCTTATCGACCGATGGTAATTACCGACGGATGATAAAACAGTTTTGAAAATTAATAGAATTTCCTACCATCAGTCGGTATGGTAGATTTCTATGTCGGTAAATTTTTATTTTTTAAAGAACCTGTTTTACCATCTTATTTTTTTACTTACGCTTATATAAGAATAAATTTAAATAATTAAACAGCAATAATAATATTCATAATTATTGTAAAAATCGTAATATTAATAAATATTACCCTAATTATCATTATAATAAATATTAAAAAATAATTAACTTTTTTAGGATTTGATGGCTACAAAGGTTTTAAGGGACGAGTGGGCGACGTAGGATTTGTAGGATTACCAGGACCTCCTGGACCACCTGGTTTCTCATTTCAAGGTCCACATGGTCTAAAGGGCTATCCTGGAATGCCAGGCGAAGAAGGACCACGTGGTACACCTGGACAACCGGGTCTCATGGGTCCTGAAGGATATCCAGTATGGATAATTAATTTTTTTTATTTTTTCCATTATAATTATAATAAATTTATTTACTAATTATAATGAATATAAATTTATTTACCTAATTGTAATTAATAATCTAACAGGATGAAAATTTGTTTTTAGGGTTTTCTGGGACAGAAGGGAGAACGTGGTGATCCAGGCTCAAATTTAATATACGGTGATATTGGAGAAATGGGTGTTTATGGAGAAAAGGGAGAATACGGTGAAGCTGGTCCACGTGGATATTCAGGAAGAGCTGGTTACGATGGACCAAAAGGAATGAGAGGTGCTAAAGGGGCACCGGGTTTTACTGGACTAAGTGGACTACAGGTAACAATAATATTTGTAAAATTATGGTAAATGAAATTTGTTTTCGAATTAATTAAAAAGTATTCTTAATTTTAATTCTATTTTTTATAAGATGGTAAAAAAAAAATATAAAAAACTAATTTTTTCCGATTATTTTCTTTAGGGATCAAAGGGATCGAGAGGTGACAGTATTCAAGGATCAAGAGGAATGCCCGGAATTCCAGGTGCACCTGGATTTAGAGGAATTCCAGGAGACGTTGGTTATAAAGGTATGTAAAAAAAATTTTGTTTATCAATAATATAAAAATAAATAATATAAATTTTATTTATACAAAAAAGAAATGTTTAATTTTTGTCGAAATTGTCATTATTAGGATCTGACGGTGCGCCAGGATTTAGTGGAATGAAAGGATTGAAGGGCGACACAGGTTATCCTGGACGTCGTGGTGAGGATGGAGCAACGGGAATAATAGGATTCAGAGGAATGAATGGTGCACCAGGTTTACCTGGTCTTCCTGGAATGGAAGGCGATGTTGGATTGCGAGGGGAATCTGGACCACCAGGAAGACAAGGTTTAGATGGCGCCGATGGTGAAGTGGGAATTAAAGGAGAACGTGGTGACACTGGACCCGAAGGACTTATGGGACCTGATGGTCCACCTGGTTTTAAGGGTTCGTTTTTCTTTTTTTAGTAAATAATTTATTTTAATAAATGTGAAAAGAATTTAACTTAAAAATTTTAAGTAAAAACTAAAAATTTCACATAAAAATGAAAATAATAATTATTTAAAAAAAGGAGTAAAAAATGTTTTGGAATTTCAGGTGTTATTGGTGATATCGGACCCGATGGACCGGATGGACCGAGAGGAGAGAATGCGTTTAGTGGACCTCAGGGCGATAAGGGTGAGCCTGGATTCATGGGCGAAGTTGGATCGCCAGGTCGTCCGGGAATTGACGGTCGACCTGGTCTTCCAGGTGAGCCAGGAATGGCAAAGGACGGTTTCGATGGTTTGAAGGGAGAACAAGGAGAGCCGGGTTTTGATGGTATCGATGGACTTCGAGGACTTAAAGTAAGTTTCAGAGATATTTCAATCACATTCATATTATTAAAATATGTAATAAACAATGATAATTTAAATTTAAGTTTTTTAAAATAGAATTTGTTTTATGATTTTTAGGGGGAAATTGGAGATATGGGTTTGGATGGTGATAAAGGAGAAAGAGGCGATGATGGAATTAAAGGTTGGCCAGGAAAGCCTGGATTACACGGAAGATATGGAGAGAAAGGTAAACGGGGACCAATGGGACCAGCAGGTTTTGAAGGTTTGAAAGGTAAACGCGGCTTGGATGGAGATCCGGGTCTAATGGGACGACCGGGTAAGTCTAATTGTCTATTTAGTAAAAAAAAAAAAATTATTTGCCTTTTTTATAATTATAATAATTTTTAATTGATAAAATAATTTATTAATTACATGTAAATTCAGCACTTAATTTATTAAAGACAGAAGATGTAATGTTTTGAATTTTTCGCAGGAATGCCCGGAGATATTGGTCCTGTAGGATATCCAGGTGTTTCAGGTCCTCGCGGTCGTAAAGGTCAAATTGGTGAACCTGGAATAGCTCCATATTTGATAGGTACGAAAGGCGATTTTGGTATTCCTGGAATGCATGGATTCCCCGGAAGAAAAGGAGAAAGAGGAGAAGCCGGTTATCCTGGATATGCTGGTCTAAAGGTAAATTCTTTTTTTTTTTTTTTAAATAAAAACATTTTTTTCAATTTAGTTTTACGTTTGAATATTTTATGTTGAGCCTTTTAAAAATGAATTTTTCAATTTAGGGAATGGAAGGTGACATAGGATTCCGAGGAGCTGATGGATTTCCAGGACTTGAAGGACTTCCTGGTCTTCCTGGAGATCAAGGAATGCCAGGAATGCCAGGTAAAAGTTTTATTTTTTTTCTTATATAGAAAAATGACTTAGATTTTTATCGCTTTCTTTTTAAAGAAATAAGAAAAAAAATATAATTTTTTATTAGGTTTATCTGGTCAATTCGCCGAACCTGGAGAACCAGGTCGTGATGGATTAGACGGTCAACCGGGAATACCTGGACGGCCAGGACAAAAGGGAGCACCTGGAGAATATGGTCCTAATGGCCCGAAGGGAATTCATGGAGATGAAGGGGAAATTATTCCAGGTCCCAAGGGAATAAGAGGCGATGTTGGTTAGTAAACTAAATATTTTCATTTATAAAAAAGAGATTTAAAAAATAAAATTTGAATCAAATTGGAAAAAATGATTGTAATTTATTTTTCTCTTTAAATTAAAAGGACATAGAGGATATGTCGGATTTCCGGGAGAACCAGGTCTTCCAGGACAACCTGGTTTCCCAGGACCTGTTGGTCCAAAAGGTTATAGAGGAGAGCCAGGAACTTCGGAATTTAGTCACAAAGGAGAGAGAGGAGATGCTGGTCTATTGGGACTTGATGGTCTTCATGGTCCAAAAGGCATGCGAGGTGATACGGGATATGCAGGAAGACCAGGAATTCCCGGTGCTAAAGGGGAAAGAGGAATAGATGGACATCATGGACTTCCAGGACCGCCAGGACCTCCAGGTCCGCAGGTAATAAAAATATCCTCTATTTTTCTTCTTTAATTTTTTTTCTTCTCTTTACACAACATTATTCATCTCAATGTGTTTTAGGGAATGAAAGGACATCGTGGATTGCTTCCATTCCCCGCAGTACCAAGACCAGGATTACCAGGAGATGATGGACCACCTGGATTACCAGGCAAGTGATATTTTCAAATTTTTTGAGTTTAAAAAATTAAATTTAATAAATTTATTTATTTAATCAATCGATTTTTAGGTTTATCGGGAAGAAAAGGAGAATCTGGTGAACCAGGAGAGGATGGTTTGCCGGGACGCATTGGAGAAAGGGGAATGGATGGTCCAATTGGTCCACCTGGTCAGCCAGGAAGAGATGGACCAAATGGATTCCAAGGTCCTCCTGGAACTGACGGACGTCCTGGATCACCAGGTAAAGATATATATTTTTTTTAATTAAAAGTTAAAATTTTTTCGGATTCTTATTTATGCCTTTCTTTTTTTCATGGAAAGGATATCCTGGAGAAGCTGGAGAACCGGCGCCAAGGCCTCGAGGTCCTCAAAATCGAGGATTTTTCTTCGCTAGGCACTCGCAGTCTGAAATGATTCCTACCTGTCCAAAGAACACTGTCAAACTATGGGACGGATTCTCTCTTTTGCACATCATGGGCAATGGTCATCCATGGGCTCAGGACTTAGGTAATATATATAAACATTTTAAATCATAACATACTAATTTCACTATTAACATACTAAAAATGCAAAAAAAATTAAACAACTTAAGACTAATAAAAAACATTACATAACAAACTTTCTCATTTATTTAAAGCACCTATGTTGTATTTTTTTATTAATTAACCCATTTTTAAAAAAAAAAGCTTATAAATAACGACGCATGCGCTTTTCTAAATATTCATTGTTTTGATATTTTTGAAAAAAATATTAAAAATTTTAAGTATCAGGAGAACATAAAGAGGTCTGGGTAATCCCAAAATACAATTCCCGCCAAATTTGGAATTTCAAATATAATAGAAATGTAAAAGCACGTGTTCAAATAAAGTAATTTTAAATTTTACGTATCAGGAGAACATGAAGAGGTTGGGGTAAACCTATTTTCGTTGATGGCGCATGCGCATTTCAAATATTCATTGTTTTGATAGATATTCAACAAAATTTAGAAGAAATTTTTAATTTTTGGTATCAGGAAAACATGAAGAGGTTGGGGTAATCTCAAAATGCAATTCGCGCCAAATTTGTAATTTCAAATATAATACAAATGCAAAAGCACGTGTTGCGGTAATCCTATTTACGTTGATGGCGCATGCGCATTTCAAATATTCATTGTTTTGATAGATTTTCAAAAAAATTTAAAAGAAATTTTCAATTTTTGGTATTAGGAGAACATGAAGAGGTTGGGGTAAACCTATTTTCGTTGATGGCGCATGCGCATTTCAAATATTCATTGTTTTGATAGATATTCAAAAAAATTTAAAAGAAATTTTTAATTTTTGGTATTAGGAGAACATGAAGAGGTTGGGGTAATCCTATTTTCGTTGATGGCGCATGCGCATTTCAAATATTTATTGTTTTGATAGATATTCAAAAAAATTTAAAAGAAATTTTTAATTTTTGGTATTAGGAGAACATGAAGAGGTTGGGGTAATCCTATTTTCGTTGATGGCGCATGCGCATTTCTAATATTTATTGTTTTGATAGATTTTCAAAAAAATTTAAAAGAAATTTTTAATTTTTGGTATCAGGAGAACATGAAGAGGTTGGGGTAAACCTATTTTCGTTGATGGCGCATGCGCATTACAAATATTCATTGTTTTGATAGATTTTCAACAAAATTTAAAAGAAATTTTTAATTTTTGGTATCAGGAGAACATGAAGAGGTTGGGGTAAACCTATTTTCGTTGATGGCGCATGCGCATTTCAAATATTCATTGTTTTGATAGATTTTCAAAAAAATTTTAAATAAATTTTTAATTTTTGGTATTAGGAGAACATGAAGAGGTTGGGGTAATCCTATTTTCGTTGATGGCGCATGCGCATTACAAATATTTATTGTTTTGATAGATTTTCAAAAAAATTTAAAAGAAATTTTTAATTTTTGGTATTAGGAGAACATGAAGAGGTTGGGGTAATCCTATTTTCGTTGATGGCGCATGCGCATTTCTAATATTTATTGTTTTAATAGATTTTCAAAAAAATTTAAAAGAAATTTTTAATTTTTGGTATCAGGAGAACATGAAGAGGTTGGGGTAAACCTATTTTCGTTGATGGCGCATGCGCATTTCAAATATTCATTGTTTTGATAGATTTTCAAAAAAATTTAAAAGAAATTTTTAATTTTTGGTATTAGGAGAACATGAAGAGGTTGGGGTAATCCTATTTTCGTTGATGGCGCATGCGCATTTCAAATATTTATTGTTTTGATAGATATTAAAAAAAATTTAAAAGAAATTTTTAATTTTTGGTATTAGGAGAACATGAAGAGGTTGGGGTAATCCTATTTTCGTTGATGGCGCATGCGCATTTCTAATATTTATTGTTTTGATAGATTTTCAAAAAAATTTAAAAGAAATTTTTAATTTTTGGTATCAGGAGAACATGAAGAGGTTGGGGTAAACCTATTTTCGTTGATGGCGCATGCGCATTACAAATATTCATTGTTTTGATAGATTTTCAAAAAAATTTAAAAGAAATTTTTAATTTTTGGTATCAGGAGAACATGAAGAGGTTGGGGTAAACCTATTTTCGTTGATGGCGCATGCGCATTACAAATAATCATTGTTTTGATAGATTTTCAACAAAATTTAAAAGAAATTTTTAATTTTTGGTATCAGGAGAACATGAAGAGGTTGGGGTAAACCTATTTTCGTTGATGGCGCATGCGCATTTCAAATATTCATTGTTTTGATAGATTTTCAACAAAATTTAAAAGAAATTTTTAAGTTTTGGTATCAGGAGAACATGAAGAGGTTGGGGTAAACCTATTTTCGTTGATGGCGCATGCGCATTTCAAATATTCATTGTTTTGATAGATTTTCAACAAAATTTAAAAGAAATTTTTAATTTTTGGTATCAGGAGAACATGAAGAGGTTGGGGTAAACCTATTTTCGTTGATGGCGCATGCGCATTTCAAATATTCATTGTTTTGATAGATTTTCAACAAAATTTAAAAGAAATTTTTAAGTTTTGGTATCAGGAGAACATGAAGAGGTTGGGGTAAACCTATTTTCGTTGATGGCGCATGCGCATTTTAAATATTCATTGTTTTGATAGATATTCAACAAAATTTAAAAGAAATTTTTAATTTTTGGTATCAGGAGAACATGAAGAGGTTGGGGTAAACCTATTTTCGTTGATGGCGCATGCGCATTTCAATTATTCATTGTTTTGATAGATTTTCAAAAAAATTTAAAAGAAATTTTTATTTTTGGTATCAGGAGAACATGAAGAGGTTGGGGTAAACCTATTTTCGTTGATGGCGCATGCGCATTTCAAATATTCATTGTTTTGATAGATTTTCAAAAAAATTTAAAAGAAATTTTTAATTTTTGGTATCAGGAGAACATGAAGAGGTTGGGGTAAACCTATTTTCGTTGATGGCGCATGCGCATTTTAAATATTCATTGTTTTGATAGATATTCAACAAAATTTAAAAGAAATTTTTAATTTTTGGTATCAGGAGAACATGAAGAGGTTGGGGTAAGCCTATTTTTGTTGGTGGCGCATGCGCATTTCGAATATTCATTGTTTTGATATTTTGAATGAAATTTATTAATTTTTAAGTACCAGGAGAATATGAAGATGTCGTGGTAATCTCAAAATGCATTTCACGCCAAATTTGGAATTTTAAATATAATATAAATTCAAAAGCACGTGTTTAAATAAAGAAATTTTTAATTTAAGTATCAGGAGAACATGAAGAGGTTGGGGTAAACCTATTTTCGTTGATGGCGCATGCGCATTTCAAATATTAATTGTTTTTATAGATTTTCAAAAAAAATTTTAAAGAAATTTTTAATTTTTGGTATTAGGAGAACATGAAGAGGTTGGGGTAATCCTATTTTTGTTGATGGCGCATGCGCATTTCAAATATTTATTGTTTTGATAGATTTTCAAAAAAATTTAAAAGAAATTTTTAATTTTTGGTATTAGGAGAACATGAAGAGGTTGGGGTCATCCTATTTTCGTTGATGGCGCATGCGCATTTCAAATATTCATTGTTTTGATAGATTTTCAACAAAATTTAAAAGAAATTTTTAATTTTTGGTATCAGGAGAACATGAAGAGGTTGGGGTAAACCTATTTTCGTTGATGGCGCATGCGCATTTCAAATATTCATTGTTTTGATAGATTTTCAACAAAATTTAAAAGAAATTTTTAAGTTTTGGTATCAGGAGAACATGAAGAGGTTGGGGTAAACCTATTTTCGTTGATGGCGCATGCGCATTTTAAATATTCATTGTTTTGATAGATATTCAACAAAATTTAAAAGAAATTTTTAATTTTTGGTATCAGGAGAACATGAAGAGGTTGGGGTAAACCTATTTTCGTTGATGGCGCATGCGCATTTCAATTATTCATTGTTTTGATAGATTTTCAAAAAAATTTAAAAGAAATTTTTATTTTTGGTATCAGGAGAACATGAAGAGGTTGGGGTAAACCTATTTTCGTTGATGGCGCATGCGCATTACAAATATTCATTGTTTTGATAGATTTTCAAAAAAATTTAAAAGAAATTTTTAATTTTTGGTATCAGGAGAACATGAAGAGGTTGGGGTAAGCCTATTTTTGTTGGTGGCGCATGCGCATTTCGAATATTCATTGTTTTGATATTTTGAATGAAATTTATTAATTTTTAAGTACCAGGAGAATATGAAGATGTCGTGGTAATCTCAAAATGCATTTCACGCCAAATTTGGAATTTTAAATATAATATAAATTCAAAAGCACGTGTTTAAATAAAGAAATTTTTAATTTAAGTATCAGGAGAACATGAAGAGGTTGGGGTAAACCTATTTTCGTTGATGGCGCATGCGCATTTCAAATATTAATTGTTTTTATAGATTTTCAAAAAAAATTTTAAAGAAATTTTTAATTTTTGGTATTAGGAGAACATGAAGAGGTTGGGGTAATCCTATTTTTGTTGATGGCGCATGCGCATTTCAAATATTTATTGTTTTGATAGATTTTCAAAAAAATTTAAAAGAAATTTTTAATTTTTGGTATTAGGAGAACATGAAGAGGTTGGGGTAATCCTATTTTCGTTGATGGCGCATGCGCATTTCAAATATTCATTGTTTTGATAGATTTTCAACAAAATTTAAAAGAAATTTTTAATTTTTGGTATCAGGAGAACATGAAGAGGTTGGGGTAAACCTATTTTCGTTGATGGCGCATGCGCATTTCAAATATTCATTGTTTTGATAGATTTTCAACAAAATTTAAAAGAAATTTTTAAGTTTTGGTATCAGGAGAACATGAAGAGGTTGGGGTAAACCTATTTTCGTTGATGGCGCATGCGCATTTTAAATATTCATTGTTTTGATAGATATTCAACAAAATTTAAAAGAAATTTTTAATTTTTGGTATCAGGAGAACATGAAGAGGTTGGGGTAAACCTATTTTCGTTGATGGCGCATGCGCATTTCAATTATTCATTGTTTTGATAGATTTTCAAAAAAATTTAAAAGAAATTTTTATTTTTGGTATCAGGAGAACATGAAGAGGTTGGGGTAAACCTATTTTCGTTGATGGCGCATGCGCATTACAAATATTCATTGTTTTGATAGATTTTCAAAAAAATTTAAAAGAAATTTTTAATTTTTGGTATCAGGAGAACATGAAGAGGTTGGGGTAAGCCTATTTTTGTTGGTGGCGCATGCGCATTTCGAATATTCATTGTTTTGATATTTTGAATGAAATTTATTAATTTTTAAGTACCAGGAGAATATGAAGATGTCGTGGTAATCTCAAAATGCATTTCACGCCAAATTTGGAATTTTAAATATAATATAAATTCAAAAGCACGTGTTTAAATAAAGAAATTTTTAATTTAAGTATCAGGAGAACATGAAGAGGTTGGGGTAAACCTATTTTTGTTGATGGCGCATGCGCATTTCAAATTTTCATTGTTTTTATATTTTTGAATGAAATTTATTCATTTTTAAGTACCAGGAGAATATGAAGATGTCGTAGTAATCTCGAAATGTAATTCCCGCCAAATTTGGAATTTTAAATATAATATGAATTCAAAAGCACGTGTTTAAATAAAGAAATTTTTAATTTTATATATCTGGAGAACATGAAGAGTTTGGGGTATTAGGAGATTATGAATAGGTATTAATGAACTTATTTTTTTTTTTGAAATTGTTTTTATTTATTGAAGTAAAAAATATTTATTTACATTAGAATTTAATATATTATTAAAATAATAAAACTTGATTTAAACTTATGAAAAATTTTGCTTTGACGTAAAATTCCCTTCAAATTCCCGATTTTTTCCCGTCAATTTGAATTCTCTGCTATTTCTCGGTTAGTAGACACTCTGTATTAACTAATAAAATGAGTTAAAATTATTAATAAACTAAATTTAATTAATGTAAATGACGTCTTTTGGATGATTTAAAATGAGATTTGGTTTTGTTGCAGGTCAAGCTGGAAGTTGTCTTCGAAAGTTTTCCACTATGCCGTTCTCGGTTTGTAATTTGAACGACGTTTGTGATTATGCACAGAGAAACGATTACAGTTATTGGTTAAGTTCAACGGAACCAATGCCAATGATGATGACACCAATTCCTGCGCCCGAAGTTGGTAGATACATATCGCGATGTTCCGTTTGCGAAGCTCCGACAAGATTAATTGCCATTCACAGTCAAACTATGGACATTCCACAATGTCCCGGTGGTTGGGAAGAAGCATGGGTTGGCTACAGTTTCTTAATGGTAATTATTATTATTATTATTAATTTTTTAAATAAATAAACAAATTCATATGGGGAATTATTTTCAATTTTCAGCATAGAGATTCGGGAGCAGCGGGTGGTGGACAATCATTAGTATCACCTGGATCATGTCTCGAGGAATTTAGAACGCGACCATTCATTGAATGTCGTGGTCTTGGTACTTGTAATTACTTTGGAACAGCAATTTCCTATTGGCTTGCAACTGTGAAAGATTACGAGCAATTTAGAAAACCTCTACAGCAAACACTAAAGGCTGATCATACATCGCGTGTCAGTCGTTGCGCTGTTTGTCGTCGACGTCTTGTCAATGAAGATTATAGTCATACATATCCATTGAATACACTCAGAGAAAATCGTTATCCACAAAGTGTATATCCTGAAAGTCGTGAAGAATCAGATCGCACATTTATCAGTAATAATAATATTCCGCCACGTATTCAAAATCGACCATACGAATGGCAACGAAATCAAAGACCCGCACAGCAACGTCATCCTTATAGGCAACGTCATCATCAAAATCCAAGAAGAAATCGTATTCACACTTCTGAAACAGATCCACAATCAAATTATACATGATAAATAATTCCTAGATAATCACGAATTATTTTTTCAATTTTTTTTTTTTTTTTTTTTTGTAATAAGTCACATGTATATAAAATAATTTTTTTTTTTTTTAGTTTTTATTTCACAGAGTAATATTAAGTTATATATTCTTCTTCTGTTGAATTGTCACCTACCTTACGTTTTTCTTACTTCGTAATTATTATACATATATAGAAGAGCAAATGTCGCGCTGTGCCATAAACAAAAAAAATATATAAATCAACGACTGCCAAATACTACTTTGTTATAAAAATAATAATAATAGTGCCTTGCGCGATTTATCAAATGAAGAAATAATATTTAAATTAACTTTATATAATATAAACGCTAATTTTACTGTAAGTCAAAAAAAAAAAGTCATAAATAAATTACATTTTATATAATCTGTAAATTAATTTTTTTCTTTTCATTTCATAAAAAGGGGGAAAAATTATTAATAAATGAAAAACACCAAAAAATTGCATATAAACGTTTTCACATTTTATTACACTTTTATTCGATCGCCCAGCTAAAAAATATATGTATATATTTTCATATATATATATTAACAGCGATCAACGCAAATCGATGCACGACCAATAAATTACTTCTGACAACTAGGAATAATTTTTCGGCCCGATGAACGTCGAGTATATATATATATATATTATATATATATCGTCGGATGCACATTATTATTATTATTAATAATGAAAGATAGAGATAGAGAGAAAGAGAGAGAGAAAGAGAAAAAAAAAGAATTGAACATACACTTGAAACATCGGTATTATATTTTATATTTATAAAATTATTCATCATTAGAAAGCACATATCATCTATCTATAATGACATAACTCACTAATATATACACAAATAGACTCATTCTTGCACGCGCATACAAACACACACACACTTACAACTATGATCTACCCACACATTATCTACGTATCAAATTATATACGTATTCATGTATGCAAATGTACATATGTTTGTATGTACACGTACATCTCCCAAGGAGTTTTTTTTTTTTTTTTTTTTAATTTTAATTTTCTTTTTTCGCAACTCCCACTTTTTGTTTCGATAGAGCTTATCCCTATTTCAAGTGGAGGAAAATGCAGCTGAGCGGTAAAAACGAGAGAAAAAAAAAACTAATTATATGTACATATTTTATTAATTTATAATTAAAAAAAAAAAACGAAAAAAAAAAATGAAAGTAGTCTTCGGTGCTCTTCCTACACTTTGAAAATCACAGACAGAGATCAAAACTACTACCGTTTCGTGTTCACTCGAATTTTTATCTTACACCCCCGCCTTTTTCTTCGTTTAATATTTCAAGTATTTCTTAAAAGTTCTTATTTTTTTTATATTTAAAAGCTTCACAAACTCTATATTCTAAAATTCGAAGCTTCGATCAGAACTATAGAGAACTTTCAAATTACATGCTCTATATTGTGCAAAGCTTAGTTAATAATTGTGTTCGTTTCCCTATGCGGGAAACAAAAATTCGTATCGTTAAGGCGAAGAATAGGTTTTTTTTTTCTTTACAAATTCTAATCATCTACCTTCATCTACAATTTTACAAGAAAACTAGAAATATTACACGAAGAATGACATTTTTTTGTTTTTTAAAACCAAACAACGCTTAATTTTAATCAATTAATTAATTACCATCATGATTCTAATAAAAATAATTATTATACAATAAATATATTAATATAATAAGTATAATATTTTTAATATTTTTTAAGTATTATACATATTATATTAATTATATTATTATATAATAACTGTAAATTAATTTTATACTATAATAATAACAATAATAATAAACATTAATTAATTGATTAATCAGAATAATTAACTAATTCGCCCATCATCAATCATAATTTCTTATCAAATAAAAAGAACTCTAAACATTATTAAATTTTTAAAAATTTTCAATCCAAAATAATATAAAGTTATAGTAAAAAAAAAATTTTTTTTTAATTAAAGACAATTTTTTTAATATCATATTATCAACAAACTTAGAAGAATAAAAATGTAATTTACATTTATCAATAAGAACAATAATAATAAAGAACATAGAAAATACGTTATAATTTTTTTTTTTTTTTTTTTTTTTTTTTTTTTGACAAAAAAAAACATAAGAATAGTTATTTTATATTAAAAAAAAGTTAAATTTTCAAAAATACTTGACAATTTTTGCAAATATTTTACAAATATTTAGCAATAATTGCATGCGTTAATTATTATAAGAGAAATTAAATTTTAATAAAAAAAAAATATATTTATAAATACAATTTCTAATAAATTTTGCTAAAATATATATATATTTTTTTAATAAAGAGAAAAGTATTCTATATTTTGACAAAGAATACAAATATTTATATATTTTTTTTTCAATTAAAAGAATTCAATAAATTAAAAAACATCATGATCCAAATAAATTAAAAACACTTGAAAAAAAAACAAAATTACAATTTCAATTAAACAATAATTTTTTTTTTAGAGAAAAATTTTCAATTGTTCGAGGAACACGATTCCTTTGTCTTTATCAACACAAAACTCAGCAACCGACGTGCATTTTCATCCAATCTTGGATAAAAGCCAATGTCATTTAAAAAAAAAAAAAAAAAAAAAAAAAAAAAGAAAAAAAAGATATTTCTCCTTATATAGGTGAACGCAAAATAATGCAGTTACACCTACACATATATAATATTATAATTATGAACATCTCTATAATTAAAAATTTGTTTTTTTTTTTTTTGTTTTTCATTTGTGTTTTAACAACGGTATGTCGTTTAGAAGTAATTTAGTGTGCATCTAAGATCTGAAAAAGAGAATTACCGAGCTATGCAAAATAGAAGGTCGATTTCTTTTTCTTCCATACACGAATATATACATTTTGTTTTATTTTTATTTTTTTTTAAACGCAGGGTTGTCCAAAAAATATATAATATATAAACACTCTTTTCTTTCACTGCCTTTTTTTTTTTTTTTTTTTTTCTCTAAAATCGGAATTTCCCCCGGGGTGTTCGAGAGAGAATTAAATTAAACGTTTTTGCGAGCGTTGAGTCTCAAAAAATCCGCGACAATCGGACTCAAGGTACAAATAAAAAACAAAAACAAACATAATAAAAAAAAAATACACGAAAAAAAAACGATGGTCGATATGTCTAAAAAAGAAAAAAAAATATTCTATTCTTGCTAACGCAAACTCTATTATCTTAAAAAAAAAAAAAACAGCTTTTTCGACCATCGAAACACAGCCACATGCAAAACCGTAAATCGACATGTAAAGGGGGAGAGGGGGAGATTAAAAAAAAATTTCAAGGAATAAATCTTTTTTTTTCCCGCAAAATCGCGAAAAGGCGGCCAATTGAATTTTCTTTGTCCGTTTTGCTCCCTAAGAATTATGCCGCATTTTCAAAAAATAAAATTACGAAAATTTTTTAGACCACCCTGCTTGCGAAAGGTACCCTTACTATCGAATAGAAATATGCATACGCCAAGTGTTTCACAATATTAATAGTAATATAATAATTAATATAATATAATATAATATAATAATAATATAATAATAAAATAATAAACCTTACTATTATAATAATAATAATATTGTAGTTGTAACAATAATATTGGTAATAATAATAATAATAATAATAATAATAATAATAATAATGATAATGATGATGTCAATAAAATAATAGTAATAATCGTTATTATAATCATATTAACAACAACAAGTATTCTTTGTCACATTTTGGTTGCAGATTCTTACAATCACAAATATATTATTCATAATATAATAGTCAAAAAGATGTTAAATTAAGGGAAAACATGATAGTGCTCTATTTTTTTTCTGTGTACAATAATTAATCCTATTTAATAGTTTCTATGTTCAACAGCCAGTGGTATAGTAAAGTATACCTTTGAGGTACCTACGTAGTTTTTTTTTTTTTTTTTTTTTTCTTTCTTTTAAATGGTACCAAATACAATGCCAACAAAAAATAAAAAAAAAGAACGTAAATAACATGCAAAAATAAGAAGAAAATGTTTTAAAATAAAAATCCTCTTTTTTCAAAAAAAAAAGCTTCCGGGCTTTTTTTTCTGCATTTTCAAGAATAAAACTACTTCACCTTTTTTTTATTTTTATAAGCATTTTTTTTTTCTTTGTACATCCTGAATAAATTCGCTCGGATTTGAACTTCGGAACAACAGCCTTTTTCCCTGAAAAGCTTCTCTTCTTATTTCGAAAAAACAATTTTCCAAGAGATTCTCTTTTTTTTTTTTTTTTTTTTTTTTGGAAAAACATAAGAATTTAAAAAAAGCTAATTTTTTTATTTCTTTATATAGTAAATTTAATTTGTTTTCCAAAAAATTTTGTTTTTCCAAAAAAAAATAATAATTTTTGTTTTACAAAAAACTGAATATACAGTTTCTCGTAAAAAAAATTATTGCTAACAAATATCCTTCCACCAGAAAAAAATTTTGTTTTCCTTTTTAATTAATTTTTTGTTGTACTTACAAAAAAAAAAGTATCCTCTTCAATTTTTTCCTCTTCATTGATAAAAAGATTTTCAATCTCTTGGAAAGAATTTTTTTTTTCTTTCATTTCCTTATAACATGAGAAATTTTCACATTTTCTCAGAGGTACAATTTTTTCTCTTCACATATGGAAATTTTCGTTTTCACGAGAAACTTTCATTTTTCTCTCTCAAAAAAATAATTTCTTCACGCCGCAATTTTTTTTTTTTTTTTTTGTTTTCCTTCAGAGGGAATTTATCGCTTTTTTTTTCTTCCTTTTAAAAATTTTTGCCCGTAACTATAGGATTCACTACTCTTTTTTTTTTTTTTGTACAGAAAAATATTTTTCTGAAAACTTGATTTTCACGGGACAATAAAATTCTTCTCTCGGAAAATATTTTTATCGAAACCTTTTGTGTGATTGTTCGCATTGTACTTGGGGATACGTATTTGTATACTGCTTTTACGTGTAGTATTACATATAATACAATAGTATCCGTAACGTATAGTGTTTTTTTTATGTAATGTAGGTGTGTTTGTATATACTCTTTCCATCACTCAAATATATATTACATATATTTCCTTCATTCGCGAGATGCTAGCCAGCAGTCACTCGGATAAAAGTTTCTGCAACAGTGACGCTTTTGGATCACCTTGGGCCACTTCTTCGATAGTAGTCTGAAATCAAAACCAAAGATATATTCAATTTTTGTTTGCGTTTATTTTTTATTTTTTAAATTAATGCTGAATTTAAGAGAAAAGAAAAAATTTTCTTTTTAATTTTTATTTGTATGAAGCCTGAGACAAGAACAAGGAACTCTATCGTTTTCTAATTATTGCATATGCAAAACTATCGATGAAAAAATTCACTGCTTTCTGCGAAGCAACTAATAGAAACAATAATAGCAGTGTTTGAAAAGCAACATAAACTTTTAGTTTCATGAACCTGTCTTAATTTTTTTTTTTTTTGAAACAAGGTAACGTATCTTTTTTTTTTATTTTTAGTGATGGGAATAATTGTTATTTGGATAATTGTTTATGACTTTTATGAATTTAAAAGTTGTCTTTTTTTTAATTAAATTAATTATTTAACATAAATTTCTAAATTAATTCCATTACTGAAAATTAATTAACTGGTAAAAATTGTTTAATAAAATAATTTAAAACTGTTTTTAATTGTACTATTAATTATTTATTAAGTAAAAATTTTATTATTATTAACTAATTAATAAAAAAAAACATAAATTTAGAGTTCCTCTTCTATTAAAATTTTTTTATTGCTTACCTGTTTGCAAAAAAATTTAATAATCATGCATTTTAAGAACTTATATTTGAAAAAAATAGAAATAAAGAAATAAGCAGTAAAAAAAAAGAATTATCTAATTTTAAAAAGAAAGTGTTACGTTTTTTTATTAAAAATATTACTCAAAAGTTGCATTTTTATTTCTAATGATGAAATAAATGTTAAAGCATTCTGAACCATCACCATAATATTCTAAACTAAAAATTTCATTGCAATAAGAATGTTTAAAAAAAATTAGTGATCTAATTAGAGTAAGTCTGAAAGTTTCCATAAGTTTTTTTTTTTTTTTTAGAAAAACCTTAATTAGTATCATTTCAATTGTCAAAATATTTTCACCAAAGGTGTTTATTCAAATTATAAAAAAAAATTCTCCTTCTGTAGAATTAAACTTTAATTTAAAAAAATATTTCAATTTTCTTTTAAGAGTGAAAACTCTCAAATAAAATTTTATTTTAAAAAAGGAATAATTTCCCAGTATTGAAAATCCTAACGAAAAAAAAAGTATTTCTCAAAATCAGATGAATCTAAAATAAAATAAACTTAACAACCCCTGTCAAAATTAAAAAAAAAAAATTAAATACACATAATTTTTACCAATTCGAAAGACAAAGGAAGATATATTTATTCGATAAAAAATATATCATCTGATACACCCCTTTTCCTATTCTAAAAATGAACCACAAAAAAATTATACGCATAGGAAATGATTATTATCATCATTCTCAAAAAGAAATTTTAATTTTATTAGCAAAAAAGAAAAAAATAAAAATAAAATGAACCTAATTTTTTCGTGTCGCGGATGAAATTAGTACTTTTTTAAAGCTGTTACGTGAAGAAGATTCGCTTTACTGAATTCTAAATGTGAAAACTGAGTGTAAAGCTTGATTCAAAATAGATCTTGTCATCGAATTATAAAAAAGTCTTAAATACAATTAAGAACCGCATATAGCTATGGAATTTCAATTAATGCGAAATTTAATAAAGAATTTTAAATAGGAAGTTGAAAAAGAGATTTTTTTTTTTTAAAAGGCTAAATTTATTTCATAAGAGACTGATTTATTATCAATCACATAATTATTATTATTATCACAGATAACTTATTAATTAGTTCAATTAATTTAAGCAAATTTTTTTAATTCTTAAGAGAAAAATGCAAATTTTTCCCTAAGATTAGAAATTTTCAAAAGAAATTATAATTTAAAAAATACGATTCGTAAAAATAGAAAATTACTATTCTAATTTTTAGAAAAAAGTGAAGCAAAAAAAAATATTGTATCCAAAACCAAAACCAAAAATACCTCATCCAATTTTAATTAAAAAAAAAAAAAATAAAAAAAATAAAAATGTTTTCAGTTAATTGAAATTAGAAAATTAATCTAAAAGTAAAAAAAAACAAATATGAAAACAATGACAATTTTTGCAATTGAAATTAAATCAATATTATTCTAATATGAAATAAATTTTGTCATAATTTTAGATTATAAAAGATAAAAATGTCTCTTATCAGCTATTTAAAACTCAAGCATGCAGAATAATAATAATAAGTATACAACTACCCTCTACAAGTTTTACGCTCAGTATATCTGAAGAAATAATTAACATGTCGTGCACAATGAGTATTGTTTTTTTTTTTTTTTTTTTTTTTCTAAAGCCAAGCAAAGAGGGAAGACAGAGCATACAAAATCAAAAAATACGTAAAGTAATTGTCGGAGGGGTCTTACCCTGGAGGAAGAGGGGGCGCTTCCGGCACTCCCAATGGCCCAGCTCTTTGCAGGGCCATCGCTAACCACAGGCTCACCTGGTTGGGACATTGTAACAATACTTGTTACCATAATCTTTAAACAACTGTTGCCTTTTCTTACAAAATGCACGCATGTTAACACGCTCTATCGGATTCTAAGGCTTTTTTTTGAAAAAAAAAAAAAAAAAAAAAACGCGACGTATTTTCTATATTTGTGGTATTATTGTCTATATTAATTTTTGTACTCCTAATATTCATTAATTTTTTCTACTAACTATATTCAAAATTTAATCAACTCAACGCCCTTGGTGAAAAAACTTTCTTCGTAACCAATTTTCTAAAAAACTTTTTTCTTTTTGGATTTTTAGTTAAATATTTTTTCCTTTAAATCAATGTATCTATTTTCATTTTAAAATGAAGGGTTTTAATTTTTTTTATTTCTATTTCTTTCATTTGCAAAAAAAAACTATACATTCAATAATGTAATAAATTCGATCAAAAAGTTTTAATTTCCTAAAAGTAATTATTTTCGAAAAAGGTCATAAATTTTAAAATCCAAAGTAAAAATTCTCTAATAATTAATAATTTTTGTGAAATATCCACAAGAGCGTAAATTTCAATTAACCCCGAATTTCCCATGTGTAACATTTTGCAGAAATAATTTTATTTCTCGAATTATTTTTCAAATTTCAAATTCTTAAAAAACCGTATAAAATATTTTGTTTTTTTCAAAAATAAAAAAGAATTGAACCTACCTGCAGAAGACATTTCAAACGTAAGTCCAAGAGCATCGAGATCATCCTGAGAAACTTGACCAGACAAGTTATTCTGAAGACTATTAGGCACCCTTTGCTGTTGTTGTTGCGTCCTGGCACCAACAATTGCTCTCAATTCTTGACGAACAAATTCCGATGTCATACTAACAGTACTGCTTGCATTTCCTGAAAACAATTGTTAATTTCAATATTTACACTTTATTTAAATTAATTACCTGTTGTAACGAAAAAAAATTTTTTTTTTTATTTATTTACACTATCCATGAATATTTGCTCGAGATAAAAAAAAATAATATTTTTTTAATGAAAAATTAATTGGCCAATTCAATAATTTAATTAATATAAAATACATATGAAAATTTATAGAGACAAAAAATTAAATCTATAAACTCGTAAATATTAAAAGAATTCTAAAGAGCAAATCCAAACTCCAGAATTTTTAATAAAAATATTTATGGCATTCTAAAAAAAAATTGCACATAATCTAGAAAAATGCAAAAAACTCTAAAAAAAATATCTCATTAATGAAAAATATAGAAAAAAAACAATGCTATCATCTAAAATTCTACATTATATACACATAAAAATCGAGAAAAAATTCTAATTCTAAAAAAGAATTAAATCAAGTTCTAAAAAAAATATAAAATTTTTACATATATATAAAAATGCAATAAAAATACTAAATTTCTACAAAAAAAAAACTACAAAATTTTAAGAAATGTTAAAAACTTTTCATAACGTATTTTCTAAATATAATAATAATGTGTGCTATAATAATAAATATTCTCAGAAATTTCATCATCTTCAACTGGATGAAAAAGTAAATCTGCAATTGTCTATGAAGAAAAAAAATAACAAGAAATATTACATGGATTTTCTTAAAACTATTTGATAAATTTTTTTTTTGAATACATATGACAGTGAAATTTTAGACACTGATGAATTATTGTTGGTTATAATAAAGTTAATGTCACAATATGCAATAGCAACGAATGAAAATGAATTTGAAATAAATGACGAAGCTGCAAACAATTTTTTCAGGATATTGGTGTGTGCACTGACTCTGATTTTTCTTCCAAAAACACTATATACAAATATATATACAACTAGAATTTTTCTCCAACATACATTTCACGTGTTATTATTAATTTTTAATTTTCTCTTTCACTTGAATTTAAGAATATTTTTAATATTAGTAATAAAATTCAATTTTTTATTTTATCATATTTTTTTTATCCAATTTATATTATTTCTGATTAATATTATTTTTGATATTAATAATTGATTATTGATATTAATATTAATTATATTATTAATATTAATATGAAACAATTACATTTTTTTGTTACTAAATTTTTCAAGTAATTTTTTAGTATTAATTTTTTTTTAGTAAATACCTATTTTAATGTATGTTGGACAAAAAAAATTCTGTTAAAATATTACCACTAAATTATCAACTACGTTCAATAATGATTTATTGATTATCGAAAACTCCTTCATTTTTCTATCATAAAATCGAGTGAAGTTCACAATATTTAAAATAACGAACGAATAATATTATACCAAAAAAAATTAATAATTTCGCTTTTTAAATCTTGAAAACTTCAGCTTAATTTTTCAATCAATTGAAAGAACTTCTTTGTTTACATTTATTAATTATTCAATTTTTATTTTTAATCAAATCTGATTTTAATGATAAAAATGAATTTTATCAGAAAAATTAAATAGATTTTTTGAAAAAAAAAAACTTATTTTCACTAAGAAATTCTTTCAATTCGAAAATATCAAGAAAAAAAAATTGAAATATTGCTACGTAAGAAAATATTGTGGTAATTGTATAAATATATGATTATCAGATGAGAAGACAGCGCATCCAGTGGGCATGGTTATGACACATGTGGTGCTGGAAACTGTGAATAAAGCGACATGCAACACGTAATAATAATAACAGTAATAAATTATTTTTTTTTTTTTTGAAGAAGAAGAAGAAGTGCCATTGCAGTTCTAGTAGTTTGTTGTAATTTGCAATTTGTTGACGATACTGCAAAACAAGAAAATGCCTAGAATAATTGATTTTTTTTTTTTTTTTGCTAATTCCTTTCCAAGAAATGATGTCAGGAAATATTTACCAAACGAAATGAATTTGTCTTTTTCTCTCCTCAAGAGAATTTCCAGAATATTTAACGGGATACACATCAGAGAAATAGTTTTGGGGATGATGTATGTAATTGAAGAACTGACAGAAAATCTTCAATTAGAATGATATGATTTGTGTATATAAAAAAAATGACGACACAATCCGACCGTGGTTTATGAACATAAAAAGTTCTAAAATTAGAGTACGAATGTATGTCAGTGAGGTGTAATGATTTTTTTTTTGTTCAGTGAAAAACACGCATTATGGTGAGAAAAATGTAAAAAAGGCCAAAGACCTTGAAAAATAAAAGTTTTATCCAATATTTACATTTTTTTTCAATGAGCATAAATTGCATATTTTGGAAAAGTGCTTTTACAAGGGGGTTAGAAACTCGAGAAGCATGCGAATCAATAATTAATTACGTATGTTTAACTTTCAAAATTGAATTTTTTCTAATAATCAGATTTTTTAAATTCGAATGACTTTCATTTCTTTTAGAAAATTTAGACCTTTCTCTTCTTACGTAAGTTTTTAAAAATTTTAAATGTAATTAAAAATTAATTTCAACAATACAAATAGAAAAATACTTGTAAAAATCTTACGTAATAGCTTCTACCCCAATCCCCTAAAAACCCTTACGTAATTAATGAATAGCCCCTGAATTATTTAAGATTCCAATAAGTCATTCTAATAAAAGTAATCTGCAAAATTAAAAGAAAATCATACGACTAAATTTTTTTTAAAGTGCAAAGTGAGACATGAAAATTTTTGTTCAAAATGATTGTGTTAGCACGTTATTTTAAAAAAAAAAAAAAAACGAAACAAACAGGCAAAATACATCGATGAAGACGATAACACAAGGGGATGAAAAAGAGAGAGAGAGAGAGAGAAAATGAAAAATGTTTCCCCAACAAATAAAATGATGAATTTTTTTAGTTAGGTGGCATTTTTAAAAAAATGAGAGATGATTTTTTGTAATTCGGAGATCCATGCCTGAAATATGCGTGATTTTTTTTTTTTTTAATTAAACAACGAGTGAGGGAATGATGACATAGCGAAGGTCACATGACATGAAGAGGTCACATGACTTACCACCCATTTGGTGACTAGCAGGATTACTGGGAGGCAGAGGCCTAGTGTCCTGCGCATCCCCAGGCCCCATTTGATAGAGTGGAACGGACGTCCGATCATAACAGTACTGATTTTGATTCTGTACGTCAGCAGTGTTGATTGTATTGGCGGTGTTGTGATATATCATAGATGAGTGTTGCTGATTCGAGAAGTGTTGGGTATTGGTGACGTTATGTTGATTATGGGTCGCGGGACAACCCGAATGGGGATGACTAGGTGATAAAAGAGCCTGTTCCTTATTTACTCCACCATAATGACGTGGTGAACCAATTCCACCTGTAACATTAATAATGTCTACCTCCTTTCCTTTTTCCACACACAAAAAAAAAACACAGTAATTCATTAACTTTTATTTCATTTTTCTTCTCGATTCCTTTTTTATCTGGAGACTGTAAAAAAAATGTTTCTCAAAAAAAGAAGTACATCTAATTGGAAAGACCTATTTTTGTGTCCGATATCGCGAAAGCACAAAATACAATTATGAGAAATTCACTTATTTGCTATATATATAAATATGCATAAAAACGTTATTTGACAAAAATTCTGTTTTTCTAATTCATAATATACTTACTGCGAATTAGGGTGTCTACTTTTTTTAAATTATATTTTCATTAAAACAATTTTGTTTATTAAAAAAAAAAAAAGTTGAATAAATAAATTTTATATATCAGTAGACGCCCTATAAAAAAAAATATTAAAAAATCGTGCTAAAAATTGACACACAAAAAAGAAAAGAGCAAGTAAAAAGTAAAAAATCACACACATTTCTCTAAAACTAAAAAAAGATCAATCGGCATTTCAAGTGAAAACAAAAATTGAATGGGGGAAAAAAATTACCTGGCAATTGTGTTGTAGCCGAAGGAGTAGACGTGGTTCGTTGAAGTCTGTACTGCGTGGAAGGGTTGTTAGCATTTTGGATTTGAACAGGGGGAAACTGGCTTGCAGTGGGACTTGCAGGTGGAGGGAAAGTTTCAGCGGGAAATGGCGACTGTCGCGCCGACGCTGGTGTTCCAGGTGAAGGCATCGATCTCTGTTGTTGTTGAAGTTGTTGCTGGGTTGTTGGTTGTTGCTGTTGTCGTACTTGATTAACATTAAACATTCTTGGACTGTTACCATAATTTCCCTACAAGAAAACATTTTTTTTTTTTTTCATTAAAATAATCTTAATCTATCATTAATAAATAAATAAATCTATCATTTCGTTTATTTTTTTTTTTACCTGCGAGACTCGAGGCGACAAAGGTTGAGGATGAGAGAAGGAGAGAATGCCAGCAGGAGAGTGCGGCGATAGTCTCGCCGTCGCGGAAACTTGCTGACCACTACTGAAGTTATTATTTACGGGGCTAAAAATATGTTTTAAATTATATTTCGCTAATAAATAATTTCGAAAAAAGGCAATGAAAAAATAGAACAGAGAGTAAAATAAATAAAAAACATCACTAAAAGAAGGAAATTTTTTTTTTTAAAAGAACTTACTGCTGAGATAACGTGGAAGGATGAGAATAGGAGTGAGCAAGCCGGTGCCCAGAAGGCATTTGGACGGAACCCCCATATCCTGGGGACACTTGCGAATCCGTTACACTTGACCTCTAAAAGAAGGAAACTCAATTAATTTAATTCTTTTAATTTCATTAAATGAATTTTTTAAATGAAATTTTCAAATGGAATTTTCAAATGGAATTTTAAAACGAAAAATTACCTGTAAAGATACATTTGGAGCAACAGTGTTGTTCAATAGACTGTCAATGTTATGAATTCCAGTGTTTATTTGGTCCGTAGCTGTAGCATTGGAAGGTATAAGCAACTGTTGTTGTTGCTGTTGCTGAAGCAATCGTTGTTTCATTTGATGTTGTTGAATAAGATTACTTCTCTGTTGTTGCTGTATGTGTAATTGTTGTTGGGGCGTAAATTGCGCAGCGCTTTGTCTAATTCCCGGTTGGGCATTAAATCTCATTCTTGGCTGTTGTTGCTGTTGATACAATGCTGCCGCTTGATAATTGTGGCTTGTTGTAACAACTGGCGCGTTGCCCAACTAGAAATTGTTTAAAAAAAATTTTTAATTACAAAATTAACATCAATTTTTGAATTTAAAATCACACAAAACAAATTTTCAAATAATAATAGGAAAAAATTTAAATTACCAAAAATTTAAAAAATTATCAAAGAAAATTAAAAATATCGAAGAAATTAGAATAGAAAATTAGTTTCGACGAGAATTAATTAACGAGAGAGAATTTCGTAAATTAATTTACTAATGAAGGAAACGTACCGCTGTGGAATAAGCTGGAGGTGTACCCGGTATCGTGATGCTGGAAGACGTAGAATTGACTTTAGCCTCGATAAGCATTAATGACTTTTGAATGGCGTTGATCGCCATTGTTTCATTCACGACAATGTCATGTGGTACTTCAGCAACACTCAGCAAATCGTTGGTTGTTTCAGACGAATCTGAAATTTCATTACATTTAAAATTCAATTTGAAATTAATTTTCATCAGAATAATTAATTACAAAATCAAATTGCAAAAATAATTTTAAAAAATCAAATATTTCTATATCTATGCAAATATAAATATATATTAATTTTGAAAATTTTACCTTCATTGGTCTGATTGGAAGTAAAGTCGACAAACTGCTCCAAAATATCATTAAGATCGGGATCCGTTGATTGATTATTCCAAATGTTAGGGTCCGTGTTTGGTTGTCGATATTCTCCGCCACTTATAAATTCCGAATCTATTTGTTCTACTTGAGGCCTTTGTTGCTGCGTCTAGAAAGAAAAAGAAAATAAAATTAATTAATTAAGAAGAGAAAGAAGAAATTTTTTTTTTCACACTTTACTTACTTGACTCACTTGACTTAGCATATGACTGAGGTAGACATTGGCTGCTTGGCGAGGTAGTTGTTGTCTAGGTAGATTTTGGAGAGGAGTACGGGCCGAAGTTGCAGTTGTGGTAATAGTATTATTGCCAATTGGCTGTTGCATTCTACTAGCAGTCCATGGCTGCTGCTGCTGCTGTTGTTGTTGTTGTGGCGGTTGCTTCAAGCGATCCGTCACTCGAGGGAGTTTATCCTGAAAAAGGAGCTAATATTTTTTTTAACAAAGGCCAATCGGCAAAAAATATAATTATTTCTCAAAATTTAATTTAATTTTCAAAAAAATTTTCTAATTAAAAAATAAAATTTTTACCTGTGGAGTCGCTGATATCACAGATGCATCGATCGGTGGAATTTTGGTTGGTTGCTCAGGTTGCTTGGCCAATAGTGAAGCAAGCATTTTGTTCTTCTCCCACAAATGTTTGTTCGTTGAAGTTGGAGCAGACGCTGGGGGATGCGTACCGTCCCTTGGTCGTTTCATCGATGAATTCATATTCATCTCTTCACCCGATCTTTTACGCGGAACTTGAGAATTTTCATTTGGCTGCGACGGTGATGGTGTGGTATTTTGAAAACCAAGACTTCTCAACAGAGGATCATCCTCTTGATTCTATTAGAAATTTTCAAAAAAAATTGTTTGTAAAAAAAAATTAGATAAAATTTTTTTATCTAACTTATGCAAGTTAATTCAATTGTTTTTATATTTTTTGGAAGAAATTTAGAAAATTTTGAAAAATTTATATCGAGACTCATACCGTTTGTTCTTTCTGTTTCCTCTCTTCGTCTTGGTTTTTCAATAGCTTTTGAAGAAGTTCATTACTCTTCTTCAATCCAACCCTTGCCTCTTCATCGTCGTCGTCGTTTTTCTCATTTAATAACTTAAAATGCAAAAAATTTAGTATACAAGGATTTTTGAAAAAGAGCAATTTTTCGAAATAAGGAATTAACTTGCAATTGAATTGAGAGTGGGATACTCTGAATATATTAATTTAGTGAAAAATGAAATTTAAAAAAAAAAAAAATAAACGCATTACCTGGAGAAGCATAATGTTGGGCTGTTCCGTGTTTGGTTTTGGCGCACTGCTTGGACTTGTACGCACTCTAGTACTATGTTCCGAATGATATTCATCGTCGTCTTGTTGATTCAACAATGTTTTTAATATCCTATGCTTATTCGGTTTATCCGCGTCATTGTCCTGACTATCCTCACTAGCACTGGCTCCCTTGGTTAACAAGTTCCTGAGCCTAACCGACTCGGTTGACACAACACTATTTTGAGTCTCAACACTTGGCGTATTTGGAGCGCTCGTTCCACTCGTACTTGGACATCCCTTGACGTCCTGATCAATTCTCTTGCAAATTGTTGAGGCGGCAACGGCTGCAGTTGCACCTCCACCACCATTGGCACCGGCGTTCATCGGCGTTGGCGATTCCTGAAGTGGACTGAATGGGAACGAATTACTGAAGGTGTGAGCAGATGTTGGACTGTACGCACGCAGGGGACTGCAGTGTGATGCCACCGCTGAATTTGACGTGAATTGCGTTCCCCCCTGGGGACTTGGAGATGCGGCGGTTGCAGCCGGTTGGGAAGGTGGTCGTGAATTTGGTGGCCCGCTTTGTCTCGATTCGGGCCTTTCAACCCACCCGCTGCTACTGTCCAAGTCCCACGTGGAACTTGGGAAAAGTTCAAATTCCAAGTCCATATTGCCCGAAAATTGATTGAATGGATTTTGCGACGTTAATGAATTGCAATTATCGTTTGTGCTAAATGTTACCGAATTATTTGATGTTGTCGCTTGCGATGATGTCAAACCACGACCACTGACACCACTCACTTGACCGTTTAGATGCGCCACCGACATTAGCGGGCCACCCACATTATTATTATTGTTACCATTATTATTATTACTATTATTCGCACAACGATTACTAGAGTGTCCTGAGCACAATTTGTTGTTGGAAAGCTGACCACCCTCGAGAGGCGTTAAATCATTGTCCCTATCATTGGACAAGAAAACAAAACATTTCATTTATTGACAATCCTCACACCACCATTATCCCATTTTTTTTTTTTTTTATTTTTCTCCCTTATAGAAATTTCGAAAATTTTTTTTTTCAAATCCATATAGAAAACTCAAATTTCAAAATTATTTTTTAATCAATTTTTTTAAAAAAACTTTTTTCTAAGTTTTCGACAAATAATATTTTGGATAACATCTGTTTATAATTTATAATGATAACGATTTTCATGAGCATTCAAATGATACTTTTTAATTCTTTATTTAATGATCTGATTTATTCAATATGTTTATTTAACACAATTTATATAAATCACGAAAACTTTCATTCATAATTTTGCTCTATTAATGAGAGTATTAAAAATTTGAATGTATAAAAAATTAGTATTTATTAATTTTTAGAATTTTTTAAACTATAATTTCTTTGAATTAACTTAGAAACTCTTGAAATATTTATAAATTACACAATTATAAATTATGATGATGAAATATTTTTTCAATATTTATTTAGTTGGAAAAACACGATTTCAGAGGAATTTTTAAACATACATATTATTGATAAAATATTCACGTTTTGAATATGTAAGTTTCCACATGAAGGATTTGAAAAAAAAAAAATGATTTTTTTTCGAACAATTCCATATAGGACATTATCTAGCCATTAAAAATTATTCTTATAGCGAATTCAACCAATTTTTCATTAAATAATTAATTAATTATAAAAAATTATTAATTTTTATTTGTATTTTTAAATTATCAAATTAATATTAAATTATTATAGAGAATTAATTTCATAATTATATGAAAATTAAATTCACTTTCTAAATTTGAAATTTAAAAAAATTAGTTTTATTTTTTAATCATATTTACTATCTATTGTTTTAAATTTATATTATTTCATATTATTAAATAATTCTATTTTCTATTATAAGAATTTAATTTCTCCACATTTAGCTTATTAAATATTTTCATTATCAATTTTTTTTTTAAATTTCCGAATCTTATTACATAAATGTAAAATTTCTTTTTTTTTAATGTAATTAGTCGAATTCGCTTTTTTTTGCTGTTGCAATGAAACTATCTATTAATGAAGCGTGATGTTAAATTTATAGTGCAGACACTTAATTAATGATTACTGCAATTTAATAAAAAAAAAAGCTAATTTTCAATATTTGCACATTTATCACATTTTTCCAACAACTATATTTAAACACTATATTTTTAATTTTCTTCTTTTATATTTCTCGTTTATACTTTCTGTACTATTTTTTTTTATTATAATTTACTTTGTCTTGTTATTAAAAAAAAATAAAAATAAAAAAATTACTAGAAAAGTAAGTCTAATTTTTTTACTCTTAAAATGAATTAAAATAGAAATTTATAATTTAACGATTATTGTAATTACTAAAAGTGATAATAAATAAAATTTACATTTTTCATTCACGCTTCAAAAAATATTTCTCTCCCACACTAAAAAAAAAAAAAAACATCAAAATGAAGAAAATTTCAGTGAATCAGTGTTGTGTGTGTTAAGGCGTCGCATATAATTAAAAGTGCTCTGCATTCATGTCACATTAAAATTAATAGTGAGACTATAATTATTATTATTATTATTATTAAATTAATAAGGAATTTTAAATTACAAAAATTAATGACATATTTTGATGATAAAAAATTATGGAAAATTTCGATTACTAAATTTATAGGAAATTTTTGTTTATTAAATTAAATGTTAATTATTAATCTGAAGATAATTTTATAGATGTAAATTATTAAATAAAGAAAATGTTAATTATTTAATAGAGAATTTAAATTAACCAATTACCAGATAATTTGAATTAATAAAATTTTTAATACAATTAGTGAAAAAAAAATAATTATGAGGGTAAATGATAAATTGCAATGGTTAAATTAACAATCAGCCGTCTAAATTTTCTTGAAATTTAACATTAAAAAATAGGGAAGCAGCATCATAAAAAAATAAAAATAAATAACTGTACACTTGGTTTTTATTTTGCTTTCTAACAGTTTAAGATGAGAGAAAGATAGTTTTGTATATTCAAGAGTGGCCAGATCTCCAACACCGACGAAAAACGCCCTTTATAAATGCATGCAAATTAAATATTATTGCATTTTGTTTCTGTTTTTTTTTTTTTTTTTTAAATTTAAAGCCTGTAAATTAAATTCACCGTCGCTTCAGGCCAGTGTCAATAAGCAGTGCAACGATAAACTTATTTCGAAATGTGAGCGATGGGTATTCCAAAAAAAAGGAGAAACACAATAAATTTTGGAAAAAAAATAAAATAATTTCAACAATTGTAAAAAAAGTATTAAATAATTAGAAATGCAGTAAATAATCAATAATTAAATTATAAAAAAAATTTAATGCTAAATTAATAATTAATTAATTATGTTTCTCCTTTATTGGACGTAAAAAAAGTAGATATTGCAGTAATAATTGTTATAAAAAAAAAAAAAAAAATTGTGTACTGTGCATAAATGCTGTGAAACTTAAGGCATTAAACCCGCGCCGTTTAAAAAAAAAAACACCTAAAACTAGTGCGAAAATTGATGATGAAAAAAACCCTCGGCTGAATATTTGGAGGAACGAGTGGATTAAAAAAAGGAAACCTTCATGCAAAATGTAGCTCTCGCACCACATTGTGTATAAGAGTTTCACACTTATCCAATAAAACGCATTTAAAGTTCTCTTCGTCAGATTCAACAATTTCATAAACAAAAAACAGAATTTTCAAATATAACTAATTTCAAATTTTAATTAAAAAAAAAAGAACAGTAAAAATAGAAAACTATTTTTTTTGAAACAATAGATGAAAAAAAGTGACTTTTTTTTGAAAGAATATTATAATTGAAGAGTGTTCGTGACCGAGGAAGAGAACTTGGCGCGTCTATTGTTCTAATCTCTCGCTACTCGAGATTGGTCTGTCTCCACTTACCCTATAATAGAGTTGATGGACATCACGTAGTCCGTGTCGTATCCACTCATCTCACTCCCTTTGAATAATTTTGAATTTGCTTTAACGTTGAGAAATTTGTCTTGACTGACGCAAAGTCGATACATGGGACTTGAACGTTCGCCGCCTTCCAGCGTGCCCTTCAAATGAGCAGTCAGCTCACTGAGATCAAGCGGGTGACACAAGTCCTGAATTGCAGTTCCAACCAGATCCTTAAAAAAAAGAAAACAAATTATTTCCTTAAATTCAGTTTTATTTTGACAAATAAAATTCCAGGACTTTTATTTTTCTTTTATTTTCAAAAAAAAAAAAGTTTTCCAGGTCTTTAGATCTAATTAAATCCATTACTGATTTATTTAAATTAATATAAAAGAAATGAAAATTAATAAATTATAATTAAATTTAAATAAAAATTAATTTCAATGAAAATTAAATTAAAAAAAAAGAAGTAAATTTTTATTTTACCTTGTTTAGGTACGTAGAGTAAGATTGTGATAACCAACTGTTATCTAATGCGAGAATTTTTCCAGAAGGGTCCAATTTAACAGTGAATTGTTGAATTGCGGTGGTGATGGGTTTTTCATTATGGGGAATTCGTCGGGCAACGCACATCACGCATGGACCAATGTCTGATGATTCTGATGATACATCGCCACTCTCAAGACGATCACTATTATTTGTAAGAAGCGCAGAACAAATTTGCATAGTCTCGTATTTATTTACGCGTTGTTGCTTCTCTTCCATAGTCTCTTCTTTGTCATCGGGAGGCTTCACCAGAAAGCGACAATTGAAAACACGATTCTTTGTTTGCGGTTGAGGCTCGCTCGTCCAGCCTATTGATTTTAAAAAAACAATCAAAAATCTAAATAAAAAAATGTATTTTATAATTAATAATAAATATAAAACATTTATTTAATTCTATTTAAAATTCAGAAATTCGCGTATTTTTTAATTTTGCAGTTCAATTTTTGAATTTTGTAAAAGAAATTGCATTTAAGAAAAAAAAAAAAAAAAGTGTCTCAAGTTAATAGAAATTTTAAGATGTCTTAATTGATAGATTTAATTACGTTTAGCAGAAGCGAGATATTATATTAATAAGGACGGCAAATTCGTAAATCCACCTCTAGGAACTTAATCAAGTTTTCCTCATCAGAACTTATAAATTGTTAAATTTTAGTTGAGCACAAATTCAACTTTATGTTCCGAAACTTTTAGTTTCGAAATTTTCGAAAGAAATAACTTTTAAATTACTGGAAATTTCCAATTATTCAAATTGTTGATTAAAAAAAAAAAAAAAAAATTTTTTTAGATTTTTGAAAATACAAACCTAATGATGACATTGGCAACAAACTAGGCATGAAGGTGTTGTGATCTCCATGATGAATTATATTATAAATATCCTTTCCAAACACATCTTCTTTAGTATAATTTATATACTGGGATATATTATCCGTAACGTACTCAACGCGCCCCTCAGTGTTTACAACAAATAGAAAGCCATCTAACGCCTAAAAAGAAAAATTCATTTTGTAAAAAACAGAATTTTTTTTTTTTTTTTTTTAATTTAATGTAACAGTTAAATAATTTTATTTTTATTAAAATATGTATTTTCCTGATGATAAATCAATAAAATGATTATCTCATTTCTACAGTGATAACGGAAAATAAAAAAAAAATAAAAAATTACCAAAAATAAAATTGACAATTATTTGAATGTTTTTTTTTTGAAAAATGAGAAAACTTATTTTAGAGTTTAAAGACAAGAGAAACTACATATTATGTGTTTTTATTTTCTCAATGGAGAATAAAACAAAAAGAACTATTTAATGACTGAATGATAATATTTTCTGGGTCACTGGCCAAAGGTTAAGAAATTTTTTTTTTTTTTTTTTTGTATAAATGAGCTGCAAGAGAAAAATGTTTATGAAATATAGATAGTTCTCTCTTATCGTTAAACTGTATCTTCAGGCGATTTTCATTTCCTTTTTTTTTTCTTTTTGGTTCTAAAATTTCATTATCAATGCGATAATATTGTTAATTAAATTCAAAATTAATTTAAAAAAAAATCTATTATTCGACAATTTACCCGTAATTTACAAAAATCAATTATTTACAAAAAGAAGAAATCTTGATTCCAAAAAAATAGCTAAGAAAATTTATATCGTAAATATGAAATGAAAAAAATTTTTTATATCGTCCAGATAATAAGAATTTCGATAAGAAAAAAATGATCAATTAAAAAAAAAAAAAAACGTACGTACCTCAAGTAACATAGGGCCAACTTGATCGTTGGAAATAATGTTAGGATTCGACGAGGAAACTTCTCCCTGCTGAACAGCATGACTGTTGGAATTCTCTTGTTGCCTGATGTGCCGAATCTAAAAATAAATAAATTTATTAATAAATTAGTTAAAAAAAATAAATTTATTTACTGTGTAATTTTTTTTTTTTGGAGAAAAAAATATCGAAACTTTCCAAAAGTTCCCAAAACACAATTTCATTATGAAAAATTAAAATTTTATTCAATATTAATAAATAATATTTATTTATTAACTCACAGGACATGACCTTTCTTTCTTACATAATATTTAGCCCTAGAAATTTTCTTTTCTTCAAATTAATAAATAATAATAATAATAATAATAATAAAAATAATAATAATAATAATATTATTATTAATGATTAAAATCAATAATAAAATTAATAATAAATAAATTCATTAACACTTTTAAGCCAACAAAATATTTATAGCAAAATTTCCATATAAATAATTTAATACATATTTTATTTTCTAGGGACCATTGGCCTGTTTAGACTATATGAATAATGCTGATAAGAGGGTTCTGAATTCTTTTCTCATTAATCATCCTCGAGGTATTCCGGTTTGGTTCCGTAGTGTGTTTCCGGGGTGTAACAAAGGAATCGTTGAAATTAATGGTTTTTATTATTATTATTGTTATTATTATTCAATAAAGCTGTCTATTGATTTTAGAATAATGTAATACCTCAAATATTAACCACTCTTAATATTAAATGTAATTTCTTGCTAAAAAAAAAAAGTCCTCGTGTGGTCAATAGCCCCCACATATAAGTTTCAATTTTTTTTTTTTTTGTCAAAAAATAAAAGGGAAATATTCGAAATATAAATTTTTCCAAAAAAAAAATCGTTAAATTTACAAATTAAATAATATCAGCGAATTTCGTCAATATTATATGCGCTTATTTGTGATGTAAATCATTTGGACGTTATATAGCCTTGACTTTTAATTGGAATTTTATCTCAAAAAAAAAAAAAAATTTTTCATTAAAAAATATATATATTATTCAATCTTATAATGAAATTTCATCCAAAAATGAAGGATATCTTCTTTTATTTTTTGTACATATAAATATATTTTTTTTATTTAACTATTTCAAAATTCTCTTGCAAAATTTAAATTTTTGAAATAACAATTTTTTTTTTATTTTTGATAGAGAAAAATATATTTGATTTAAAGAAATATTTTTTTGATGGAAAAAAATGTTTTTGATATTTAAAAAAAAAATGTTTCGTAAATCAAAAACATTTTTTAAACAAAAATAATTTTTTTCGTTACAAAAAAAAGGTTTTATACATAATTCCAAATATACCAAAAACATTTTTTTTTACTAAAAATAATTTTTATCCAAAAAAAAGAAAATGATTTGTAGGTAATTCAAAAACATTTTTTTATTAAAAATGTATTTTTTTTATCCCAAAAAAATGTTTTGTAATTGAAAAACTTTTTTTAAACAAAAATAATTTTTTTCGTTACAAAAAAAAAGGTTTTATAATTCAAAATATGTCAAAAACATTTTTTTTACTAAAAATAATTTTTATCCCAAACAAAAAAAATGTTTTATAATTCGAAAACATTTTTATTTTACTAAAAACAATTTTTATCCCAAAAAGAAAAAAATGTTTTGTAAATCAAAAACATTTTTTTTTACTAAAAATAATTTTTATCAAAAAAAAAAAATGTTTTGTAATTCAAAAACATTTTTTTATTAAAAAAATATATTTTTTTATCCCAAAAAAAATGTTTTATAATTCAAAAACATTTTTTTTTACTAAAAATAATTTTTATCCAAAAAAAAAAAAAAATGGTTTGTAATTCAAAAACATTTTTTTATTAAAAATATATATTTTTTTATCCCAAAAAAATGTTTTGTAATTCAAAAACTTATTTTTATTCAAAAAAAAAATGTTTGATTCAAAAAATGTGTAGGCATTATAATTAAAAAATATTTTTCTAATTAAAAAAAAATACTTAAAAAAAAAATTCTTTAAATTAAAGAATTTTTTTCTTTTTCTACAGCAATAAAAAAAAAATTTTCTTTGATTCTCTTCCCCTTAAATATTCAGATTGCAAAAATTCTTTTCTAAGTAGAATAGTCAGTTACGTCAGACAAGGTTTATTCCTAAGTAGATAAAGTCGTTTTGACAGGGCGACATTCGTTTTCCAAGTAGAAAATGCAGTAACCGTCAGACACGATTAATTCCCCAAGTAGATAAAGTCATTTTGGCAAGCCAAATTCTTTTTCTTTTCTAAGTAGAAATTTTTTTGAATTAAAAATTTGATTTACAAATGAAAAAAAAAAAATCTAATCAAACTGAACCAAAATCAAAATATTGTCAAAAAAAAAAAGAAAAAAAAAGAAATTGCAATTTTTCCCGCAGTGAAAAAGAATGTCTAACTTCGCGGTTAATCTATCTCAGCGGGTCATTGAATCCAAACCTCCCTTTTCCGGAGTCATTGACCCCAGAAATGAAGAAAAAAAAAAAACTAAACTTGACACCCTTAATTGAAGTTCAAAAAAAAATTAATTAAAAAAAAAGGAAATTTGAAAAAAAAATAAGAAAAAAGAAGGAAAGCCTTTTGAAGTCTAAGTCATAAGTTAGCATTTTCCGTAATCGCGAACTCGTTTCGATATATATATATATATGAAGGAAAAGGAGGAGCAGTATAAGAGAATGAGTTTTTCGAGTTAAATGCAATCTCTGCTTTACCGTCGGGGGTTCACGGTCGATTCGAGGGAATGACCTTGAGCTCGTATTTCCCGCGGCCGACAGATCGCGTCGTAATCGCAATGAGTTAACATGTGGCCTCGAAAAGTCGGTGACTTCGCCGATAGTACAAGGAGTTCGACTGGCGGCATGATGCGACGTTGCCAAACACACTATTTTTCACGGCTGCTTATTTCGTGCATCGTTGTGCTGCGATTTTGTGTTGTATAAAAATTCTTCCGGCGTCACCTTCTTTTACCATGTTGTATTTATTCTCCTTTTTTTTTTTGTTTTATTAATCCAATTGTCTAAATAAACTAATTTTTCTATTTTTCAGATCGAGACCAAGTGATTTTTGAAATGAAATATAAATAAAAATCAGGAAGGAAGATTAGATTTGACGTTATTCACACCTGAAAGACGCAATTTTTGTGTGATAAAAAGAAAGAGAAACTTGATAATTAATATTATGACGAAGGCAGAAACAGTTATTATTCAGAATGGCGAATTTTTTTTTTCGTAAGGTCAACAATTTTTGAAGAAATGAATCAGAGATATTAACAAACGAACATTGTTCTACTCCTACGAGGCAGTGTTTTATGAGCGCGTTAACATTTACACTTCCTGTGCCAGTATAACTTGTTTGCGCAATCTGATTATAAATTGTATTCAACTATATATGTAATACAATTACTTAACGAGAGGACCATCATCGTTTTTCAGAATGGTTTCCAGCAAACCATTTTGAAAAAAGATTATATTAGAAAACCGAATCGTACTATAAAATATCATCATTCATTCTGAAGCATTGTTATAATTAATAACAAGAAGTATAATTAACAAGTAGAGAAATTACTATCAAGTAGATTAATTCCTAACAAGTAGATTAATTCCTAACAAGTAGATTAATTCCTAACAAATAGATTAATTCCTAACAAGTAGATAATTTCCTAATAAGTAGATTGATTAGTAGTAATAGTACTAACACAGAAAATTAAAAGGTATTAAAATAAGCTGCAACGCTTATTATTTAAATTATAAATTATTAAATTATTCTTAAATTATAAATTATAAATTTTAATTATTTAAATAATAAGCGTTGCAGCTTATTTTAATGCCTTTTAATTTTCCGTGAATCAGTTTGTTGTAGTAATAATAGAACTAACACTAGTGATTTAACTACACTGAAAAAAAAATTTACTTGATTCAAATAGTTATTTAACTATTATCAAATAAATATTTACTTGAAGCAAGTAATTTTTATTTGAATTAAACAAACTGTATTTGAATCAGTAATTTATTCACTTAAAAAAATTCTGGTTAGGCTATATTTAACATTACTTTCTAGTTATGTTAACCAGAATTCTAGTTGAATTAACTAGAATTCTCGTTAAAATAACCAGAATTCTGGTTAACCTAACCAAAATCAAAATGTTAAATATGCCCTAACCAGAATTCTGGTTATTCTAACTAGAATTCTGGTTATTCTAACTAGAATTCTGGTTATTCTAACTAGAATTCTGGTTATTCTAACTAGAATTCTGGTTATTCTAACTAGAATTTTGGTTATTCTAACTAGAATTCTGGTTATTCTAACTAGAATTTTTTTTCAGTGTTTATTTGAAACAAATACAATTTAATTGATTCAAATAATAATTATTTTACACAAATAAATATTTATTTGATAATAATCAATCGATTATTTGAATCAAATTTTTTTTTCACTGCAGTAGTTTAACCCAAAAAAAGCCCAGTTTCTTTTTTTTGGTAACGAAATATATTTATAATCTGTTATTTTTGTTGAATTTATTCGGGTTGTTTAAGAGAAAAGAGTTGTTCGAAAAAGAATTTGATAAAAAAAAAAATAATTTACCGGGAAAAATTCTTGTCACAGAGAGACAGATGGTGAAAAGAAGAAACGTTCTTCTTCTCCTGCTGCGATTCCTGGAATAAGGAATGAATACTGAACACACACACACACACACAGTCAATTATTAAAAACAACTTGAGATTCGACCCCCGTAGTGGAGGAGCCTTGCTCCAAATTTCATGAAGAGGGCATTAAAAAAATATATTTTTGAATATACTTATTTATAAAATTCCAAGTATCATAGTAGGATGTATTTGGTGACAAAAATACAAATATTAATGCTCAAAAATATAAAACCTACATCGAAATTTTAATCTTATTTTAAAATTGTGATTTTAAAATTTCATTAAGTAAAATCGTAATTTTGACGAAAAAAGAATTATAATTTTACTCAAATTTTCAATATGGACCAATAAATTTAAAATTCTCTTTTCACGACTTATCGGAATTTATCATTCACGCCTTTCCGCCTCAGCTTCATTTATATAAAAGAGGAAAAGAGATTGCTGAAAAGGATACAACCAATTGTCACAACAGCATCGTATTGTGTGAAATTGAACATTTTTCCCCCAGCATCACAAATATTCGCGAATCTATTGATATTTTTCATAAAGTATAAAAAAAAGAATTTTGTTGAATTACACGCAGAGAAATGATTTATTTGAACCAAATAAAATATATTTGAGTTAAATAAACGTATATTTGTCTCAGAGCCTACTAACTTATTTATTTGGCGTAAATAAAAGTTTTATTTGTCAGAAATAAATTTTTCTTTGCCTCAAATAAATTTTTTATTTCAATAAAATAAAATATATTTGCAACAAATAAATGAGTTAGTAGGCTCGGAGACAAATATACCATTTCTCTGAGTGTAAACCACAATTTTTAATATCAAAATTCAAATTTTTATATTACATTATTTTGTAATAAAAATAAAAGGTAAAAAAAAGTTATAAATACAAATTATCTACTTAATAATTAATTGTTGAATATAGAATCTTTAGTGGTTTTTAATTATTATTCTATCTTTGATAGTCTAATTTCAGAAACTGTTTCCTGAATAATGGAATTTTAATTATTAAGAAAAAGAGGACACCTATAATAATAATAAAGAAAAAAAAAATGTTTTTAAAATACTCACATCTTGACTGTAAAGCAAACAATGGAACCTCTCTTCATAAAAAAAATATATATATAATAAAGAGATTAGTCAATAAATATTACGCGTAAAACTTGAGTGACGATAGTTGGATTGTTTCCATGGTCGACACATATATATGCATATATATATGCAACTTTATGAGGCGATAACTAATCATCACTTGATCATAAGCACAATATGTTGCATCGTGAAATACATTTCACTTTTCTTCGTGCTCTTGGGGAAAAATATTTCTATCTCTTTCAACGCTCTCACACGAGTTACTCGATTGGTCGCATATCAGCAAGTATTACGTTGGCACAGTTTCACTATATGAACTTCAAAATTAAGTGTCATAAACGTATACACACACATATATATATATTTAAAAAAAAATATACTTCAAACAAAATTTTACTGTCAGAGAATCTCGTACTAAGAAAAATTTACGAGGTTTTCTTCTTCTTCTTCAAAAAAAAAAAAAATACAACTATCTTTAAGGTCATGTGATTGTTGTGATTTTACATTTAAATATTCTCCGCAGGTTTTTTCGGCAAAATAAATTGATAAATTGAATTAAAAAATTTTGTCGAGAACACAAAAATAGTATAAAAGAATTGCAGAGTATTAATATTTTGGCAAAATAAAATTTATTTAAAAAAAAAAAAAAATAACATATTTTAGAAAAATTCAACATGGCGGCAATGATTTTAGTCATTTCGACAATATTATGCAATTTTTTCAGAACAAATTTTTTTTTACGAAATATTAATTATACTCTAGCATATGACAACGAATAATTCAATTATTTTTGAGTACTATAAAAAATTTTAGCTCAATTTTAAAATTATTTTGCGCGAAAATTTGCGGAGAATATATTTACACGTGAAATCGTCTCACATGACCTTAAAGTCAAAGACAAAATTTGTTTCCAATTATCTTTATACAAAATTTTTTTTCACGTATTATTTTAATAATAATAAATTATTATTAAAATTAAAAATTATTATTATTAAATTAGGAATAATTAAAAATAATTAATTATAATTATAATAATTGTATTATTATTATTATTAATTAATAATATTTTATTAAATATTTATATTAATATTATTTATGAACGATAATAAAAAATAAATTAATAAAAAAAAAATTAGAATAACATCTATTTGGAGGAAATTAAAAAAAAAATTATTGCGTGGGCGAATTATAATTTTTTGTTCTCTCGCGAGTTTGATTTAAGGACCTGCAATTAATTATTTGAATTCAATTCTAATTATTTTCGTCGTAAATTAATAATTATTATTAAATATTAATTAAATTAATTATATAATAAATATTATATATTATTATTCCAGTTTAAGTTGTATATATATTATTTTATATTTATTATAGTTTATATATTAATTTAGTATAAATAATATTATAATTATGTATATAATAATTATATCATAATATTTAATAATTTAATTAAATAAAAAATATTAATTAAATAATAAATATTAGCGAATTAAATAAATATCTAAATTACCGTATTTCCAATTTAATTTTTTGTTAAACTTACAAATTTTTCTAATTATTTAAAAAAAAAATAATTAACTAGTAATTAATTAGTAATATAAATATCAAATCAAAATATTCATTACTTTCCAAAATCAAAAATTTCCTAAAAAATTTCCCCACTCATTTTTCTCTTAATTTAAAAAAAAAGTCATTTAAAAAAATTTTCACATTAAATTCCGAAGAAAATAATTTTCTCGTTAAGAGAGGTATCACCAAGGGAAAGAGAGTGAGAGAGAGAGAGAAGCTGGAAAAATGACGTCTCAACGAAGAGAAGAAAAGTCGTCATGGCAACGAGCCATGATCTCTACTCAATCAAGGACTGTTTACTACTTTTTCTCATGGTCCTCAAAACGCGTCTCGCAAGGATAAGAAAAAATAATTTTTTATTTTCTCAATTTAATTTAGAAAGAAAAAAAATTTTTTTTTTCACAATCGAGAGAGAGAGATTCATATTCAATATATATATATATAAAAAATGTACGTTTTAATAATGTTTCTTTCGAAGAAAATATTTACACGCGTAGTATATAAAAAAAAAAAAAAAATTCATGAGCCCTTTTATCAAAGAAAACAAATCGATTGGGCAAACTTTTTTTTTACGCCCTCACACCTTAATATATATATATATATATAGTATATTATTATTCTACTGCGCAAAAATTTTCATCTCTCGAGATTGTGGAGAACATCAATATATAAACATTATATGGAATATATTAAAAGTATAGTTAATCATATTTGGCCAACGCCCACAACTAAATATCTATGTCTGATGACTAAATAAATAAATGGACGAGCAAATTTTTATATAGGATTATCTTTGGAAAAAAAAATATTTTTAAAAATAAAAACCCTGTTTTAATTTTCCCAAATTCAATATACAATTAATTAATTATTATAAATTAATTAATTATTAATAATTTAATATAAATTAATTATTAATTAATTATTATAAATTAATTATTAATTAATTATTATAAATTAATTATTTATTAATTAATTACTAATTAATTCATAATTATTTATTAATTTTTAATTAATATTTCTAAAATTCGGATTTGAGTTTTTTTTTAATTTTTATATTAATATTAGTTTTTTCTTCTTATTTCAAAATTTGAAAAAAAGTATCAGGAATTTAATATATTCTTTAACGGTGTTAAATAGAAAATTTTCAAGGAGATTAAAATGGGGGGAAAAAAAATTTTTTTTTAAAAAATGATTTTCTCACCTGATCGACGGTTCTCTGGAGGATTTGACATTTATCAGTCTTGCCAGAGCTCATATCCGTGGCGGAAATCAGCTCGGCAAGCTCATCGATATACTGGTTCTCCTGGGTCCGTCGTCGTTTCTCGTTAAGGCACTTGTTACTAAAAAAGAACAAATTATTCAAATGTCAATGAAAATCATTTATTATACAAATATCTTATCTAAATTATATACTGTAACTAATTAAATAATCAGGATAAAATTTCAAATTTTATTTTTTCACAGCTGATAAATTGATTTGACAACATTATCATTTATCAAAAATTATAAAATAATTATTATTATTACAAAAGGACAAATTTATTACTTCTTTTTTAACATTTACTATACATTTAATGTATCTTTTTTTAAATTATTTTTTCTCAAAAAAAAATCCAGTTAAAAAAAGAGGTTTTTAAAAAAAATATATTTTTTAAAATTATCGAAATCTATCAATAGACGATATTGACAATTTGTAATGATTTGCGTCGTAAATTCAGAGTTGGTCAATCGACGTCATTATATATATATATATATATATAAATTCTTTAATAAATAAAAAGAAAGTTCAAGAGAGATCTCATATTGAAATAATCTTCCATACCGAAAGGAGAATACGACTCGTATTTCAATCTTGACAGATGAAAATATTCGAGAAAAATTATTCAAACGTAATATCCAGTTTCTATATCTTCAATGTCACAATGGCATATCATTTCTTAATGAAGCTCAAAGTTCGAACTTTTCTTTTTACAAACAAATATATAATCACAATTATATCAGCAGTGAAATTATAAAGATCATCCCTTTCATTTTTTTTTTCAATATAAGTTCACACAACTTTAAATTTTAGTTCAATTTTTTTAGTTTAGAAACTAATTTTTTTTCATTTAAATTTAATCTATAAAAAACAAAGGTAACATTTAATTACCAGTTAATTAATAAAAAAAATATATTTAAAAAAAATAAAAATATAAAAAAATGTAATAAAAAATATTTCCAAAAATATTAAAAAATATATTTTAAGAAAATGTGGTTTTGAATTTCGAATTTTAATTTTCTACATTGTTTTATATTACTATTGCACGGAAAAAAAATTTTTTTTTTAAACAGCGATAAGTTTCTCTAGAATAACGAAAACTTTTACTGTTTTAGTAAAAAATATCGCTGTTTCAGGTAAAAAAAAATTTTTCCGTGTAATTTCTTAAACTTGAGGGGGAAAAAAATTGTAAAACTTTGTAATAAATAAAATTTTTATTTAAATCAAATAAAAATTTATTTGCAATAAAGAAATACTTATTTGAAACAAATAAAAAAAAAATTTGGAACAAATAAATATTTATTTGGCTCTGAGAAAAATATATAATTTCACTGGGTTTATATTTAAAAAAAAATAAATAAAAAGATCATTATAGAATTAAGAAAACTTGCAAAATTCTTTGTTTCTCTTTTTGAGAACCGTTAATATAGAATTTATAATTTCTCAAAAAGAAAAAAAAAGAAAAAGAATTTTGCAACGTCAAAAGAAATAGAACACTCGATAAAAAAGGAAATGACGTTTCGAATATAATATATATATATATAAAAAGCAGAAATAAGAGAAAAACTTACATTTGTGACTGTGGCTTAGCATCTGATTTCTTTCTCTTCTTAGTGACACTGCCAGTAATTGCACTCATTTTGACCCACAATGGGTCCTGCAGGTCACACGGGCCAGGCCTGCAAAAAAAAAAATGGAAAACAAAAATTAAAATTTTAGAAATACCATAAATATATACAATTTAAATTTCACTTCAAAAGCGTATGCATTTCCATCATTATCATTTACACACACGGTCTTTGATCAAGATAAACTAGTAAAACAGTTTTGCTGTCGATATACCTGGTGCCATAATATACCAGAACAGCAGGTCGATAAATATCTAAAGAATGAATTTTTTTTCTCGTATCAGAAATTTTCCTAAATTTTTAGCACAACTGTAATAAATATTTTCTGCAGCAAATATTTTTTTAACAAATAATCATTATTTTGCAGCTAATTTATTTTTATGTACAATTCATTAAGAAGTAATTTTTTTTTCTTATATTAAAAATATATTTATTATAATATTTGACTAACGAGAAAAGGGATCTTCTAATCAAGAAATATTAGGTTATGTTTAGTAATAGTTTTATCTTGATAAAAAGTTTCTAATTAATTAGATAAAATTAAAAAGTAGTTTTTATTGAATTTTTGCGAATTCACTCTAGCAGTGAAACTAGCAGTCAAGTTCAGCAGCGCCTCATAGTCGTCACCAAACGATTTTCTAAAAAAAACCCAAAAAATTTCACATTTACCCCACGCTGCTAGGCATTAATTCTTGTAATAAAAAATGTTACTATTTTTTTTGTTACTTGTTGTTACCTTAAGTTGACAAATATCGTATTCCGATCGTTTCCTACCACCCTAAATTTTTTTCTACACTCGATTTTCTAAAAAAAACCAAAAAATTTCACATTTACCCCACGCTGCTGGGCATTAATTCTTGCAATAAAAATTGTTACTATTTTTTTTGTTACTTATTGTCAACTAAAGTTGACAAATATCGTATTCCGATCGTTTCCTACCACCCTAAATTTTTTTCTACACTCGATTTTTTAAAAAAAATCCAAAAATTTCACATTTACCCCACGCTGCTGGGCATTAATTCTTGCAATAAAAATTGTTACTATTTTTTTTGTTACTTGTTGTCAACTAAAGTTGACAAATATCGTATTCCGATCGTTTCCTACCACCCTAAATTTTTTTCTACACTCGATTTTCTAAAAAAAACCAAAAAATTTCACATTTACCCCACGCTGCTGGGCATTAATTCTTGCAATAAAAATTGTTACTATTTTTTTTGTTACTTATTGTCAACTAATGTTGCATATTTATATAAATATATGCTCGTGTTTACCAATTGGGACGCCCTTTATATATGAGGCTCATCAGGAGAATTGATACCGGAATCATATGGGAGATGAAACGGATGAATACAAATCAGCGTAATGCGCGCGCGAGAGATAGGGGAGTGCAAATGAAAAAGAGGTCGGGAAAAGCGTTTTGCAAGTGCATATATATATATACATATAACCCACGTGTCGTATCAAGAGCACTAAGCACGTGCCGAATTCTCTCGTTCATCCGGAGTAGCAAATTAATCCATTTCAAAATATAAGAGAAAATTTATTTCAATTGAAAGGATTTTCATAAATGTAAAATCCAATTTCATTTGTAAAAAAAAAAACTCTCTCTCATTTTTATTAAAATCATTAGAAAAAAATTGTTTTCCCAAACAAATAGAAAATTTTCTACTTTTTTTTTTTTTTTTTATACAGAAGTGAACTTTATAAAAAATACACTTTATATAAAATTCACTATAAATAAATATTATATAATGGAATATAATAAAGGTCATCATTTTTTTTATATTTGTATTTAGAATTAGCAAATGATAAAAAAATTGTTTTGACCTTGCGAACAAATATGTGTGGGTGTCAAATTTAACAAATTCATCCTCATCGTTTAACTATTATTTTTATCATTGAATTTTTATGCAATGAAAACAAAAAAAAAACTCGAAAATTGAAATAGGGAGAAAAAAATTAAATATACACCAAAAAATGAAACTAAAATTTAAGAATAAATTTACGCCAATTAAAAATAATTATTTTACTTTTAAAATTAGAATATGCCACGAAAAAAAATCTTCATCTAGAACAGCGATAAGTTTCATTGGAACAGCGATATATTTATTTTAAATTTAGAATTTCGTTTTTTCATTATTAAAATTATCAAATTGATACTTTTTTAAATTAACTGTGAGAAAAAAAAGTTTGATGATAAATATCATTAACAGTGGAAATTTATATTAATAAATAAAAATTTAAATTCACTAATGTGTATGTTTATTTAGAGGCTGTAATTTTTGAGACTCCTTAAAATATATATATATATATGTCCAGTTTGTAAAATTTACGATCAGAAATAAATCAAATAAACCTGACCCAAATCGCATAGTTAAATAATCACGCCACGCCCGGAAGACGATGTGAATATTCATATATTCTCCAAAATACACTTATCAGCAGTCATTATAAAAACCTTCAAAAAAAAAAAATATTACTTTCTTTTCACAAAAAATAATTCGCAACAAAATAACATAATACACTAATTTAGAGCGAAAATAATTATTTTAAAAAAGAGGGGGAGGCGGGGAAGTGAGATTAATTATTATATATCCTATTATTTTTCACATTTTTAAAGTTTTATAAATATTCTCAAAATTTTTGGTTGATAACCACTGCTTGAGAACACTTCTCAGACTAGAAAGGAAGAGGCCCATCAAAAAATCCAGCCTAGATCCCTCTCGCGAAACTCGTCGAAGCAAGCGAGCTTCGTTGATTTTTGGGCCGCCGGAAGCGAGGATTTATATATATATATATTTTTTTTTTACCCACTTTTTATTTAACATTTCGCGAAATACTTTCTCGCTTTCAACCTTGTTTCAGAATTTCAGAAAATAAGACAAACTCTAAGAAATATATATATATTTTTTTTTTTGCCTGGCAATTGCAAGAAGAAAAAAAATTTTGTACGAGACAAAAAAAAATTTTTGCTTTAGGTTATTTGAAAATATAATACACAAAAAAATGTTTGCTTCAGATATTTGAAAATATATAGTATATAATTTTGAAAATTTGGAAAAAATTGCGAAAAAAATACATTGTAATATTAATGGAGTATAAAAAAATAATTAATAATTATTATAACTAATATTATTATTATTATTACATATTATTATTATTATTAATAAGTAATTAATTATTATTATTATTATTATTATTATAAAAATATTATTTAAAAATAGTATAAATAAATATAGAAATAATAATAAAAAAAATTATAATAATAATAAATTAGTCAAAAATTGTATGAAAAAGTTGAAACAATTATTATCGCAATGAAATTATAGAGAAAAAAATTTTTTAAAATTCGATAAACGTCAAAAGAGGATAAAATTAATTTTTTCTCAGATTGCAAATACCTCAAACAATTAATGTAAATGGTGTATAATATGTTTATTGTAAAGCACGCACATACAATTGCGTCCTTACGTGAGTGTGATTATTTCTAATCTAAAATAGCATCTAAGCACACTTATCAGTATATATACGTTCTTGTCTCTTTTATATACATATACAAGACTCGCGAGATAAAAGTTGAATCACAACGAATCATATAAATATATATATGTTTGAAACATAAATTTGAATTTTACATTATTACTTTTAATTCTCATTGTTATCTTTTTTTTTTCTCATTATGCTTTTTAATCAGAAATTAGTTTAATGTTTCATAGCATTCTTTTACAATGCATCACGATGTTTCATTAATCTTCTTTTATAAATATATATATATATATAAATTATATAGAGAGAGATTTAAGATAAAGAGAAGAATCGTCTTTTCAAATTAATCTCTCAGTTTATAAAAAAAATATAATTTTTTAATGCAAAATATAATTTTTCGCCTACATAAGTTGGCTTTTTTTTTTTTTTAATGACAAGAAACGCCCCTTAAAAAAATGAATCACAATAAAGAGTGATAAAAAAAAATTGCTACAAAGTGATATGATATTTAATATATGAAGTTCTTAACCCCTTTTTTTTATAAATCATATGTTACTTTTTCTTTTATCTTTCCGTTAAAATGATCATTAATTTATTATCAACAAACATTCTAGGCCATACTTCCAAGGTATATAAATATATGTTTCTTGTTAGTTCTTTCATAATCACCTAATTAAAAAAGTAAAGGCTAATGAACATTAAGTCCTTGAACTAATTGATTTCAATCTACGCTTAAAAAAAAAAAAAAAAAAAAAAAACAATGTCTTAAACTTTCCTTACATTTTCAAGTTATCATCATTTTGATCAATAAAACTTTTTTCTTAAAAAAAAATTTTTTTGGTAATTTTGTACAATTTTTTATTTTGTTTTTGAGTACATTAAACTTTTACTTTTTTTTTACTATTTTAATTATAAATAAAAGAGTTTCGAAAATTTTTAAAGAACTCTGATTATATATTAATTAGATTTTTACTGTAAACTTTCACTTTTTTTAAATGTATACTGTTCTATACAAAAGTTATTTTTTCATAACAAAAAAAAAAAAAAAAAAAAGAAATTGATGACAAGAGTTTTTATAACATTTACGAATGTAAATTGCAAGGAAAGCAAATTTCAAAGTGTGGCAACAAGAATATATGTCTGTTCATGACTGATTCTTACTACTTTATATTTCTTATGGAATAGAAATATATGTAACAATTTTTTGTAATAACAAAAAATATTATAACATTTTTTCAATTAAAAAAAAAATTAATGTATTCATTTTCTACACTCAGAAAAAAATTCGTTTGAAGCAACCAAATTTTGGTTAAATCAACAAAATAAATGCATTAATATACAGTTAACCAAACATTTGGTTGCATAAACCAAACGTTTATTTAGCTTAATTTTTTTCTTTGTTCAAAAAATTTATTAAAATAAACCAAACAGTTATTTAGATCAAATAAATATTTATTTGAATTAAACAAATTTTGTTTCAACTAACCAAAAAATTGGGTAAATATAAAAAAATGGTGAATTTGGTTCAAACATATCTTTTTTCTGAGTGTAAATTAAAAAAAAGA